TATTTATTTCATAATCACTTGTATCATTAGTAGTTTGGAGAATAAAGCTAAACATTTTTTTTTTTACAAACAATTCCAAATGATTCAATTCAGAGATGCATAATTTCTCTTTCTTCATAAAAGAAGTTTTTTTCATACATGCATATCCTGTATATATTCATTCTTGATATCTAATATTTGCAGGATTTTATAATGCCGTAATGCGTTTGCTGTACTTTAAACAGTTAAATAAAATTGCTTTGAAATTCATTTTCAAATTTTCACATTATTTAATTTTTGCTGCTGTTCAGTTCAAATTTGCTTTTCAAATCTGTATCACTCAGCCATTTAAAATTAGCATTTTAATTTTGGAATCCAAAGGCTTTCTCGTTTTAGTTTCAAATGTCTGGGGTTTGTAGAGGCTTGTTTTGGGTCTAGCAAGTAAGCACTTGTTCCTCCCCATATTTAGTGTTTTTCTGACCTCTTCGTCTGTAGGATGTGGAGATTGACATTGAACTGGCACCTGGAGACCAGACCAGCCTCCCCAAGACCAAAGAGCAGGCAGAGAGAGACGCAGGCAACCAGCTGCACATGCTCACTAACCGCCACGACAAGTTCCTGGACTCCCTGAGAGAGGTCAAGGTGAGCGTAACACCCTCAACATATGCCACCCTCATGAGTGAGAATAAAGCAAAACTTTAAAAAGCAAACTGGTTTTATAAAGGCAATACATGAGAATGGGCCAGATGCAGAAGTCATACAGCTGTTTGAACATTGTTTAAAGGGGTCCTATTATGCTCTTTAAAAAATCTAGAACATGCTCTCAGGCTTGGTGGTTCGAGAAACACAGTATTTTTCACATTATTTCATTATCACATTGCCTTCTTCCTCAGCCTTCATAAAGTCTCCAAAAATTTGATGAGTTGTGATTGCTTGACTGTCCCAACGTTTTGTGATTGGTGAAAGGAGATCTTGTGTTAGTATTGCTTTGCCTATTGCCAAAGCAGCAAGTTCTCTTTGCTACAGTCAACTTAAAATGAATTTGAGCTGGATTCAGGCCCTGAAAATATTGATCAAGAGGAGACATGCATGCACATATATTGCATGGCATTTCACTTTTTGTTGTAGGTCAAATCATGTTTTTCTTGATTTTGATATTCCAGTATTCTACAGTTATAAAAAACATAAATCATTGTTCTTCAGCATTGACATTTGTATTACACTGATATGAATAGGCTATATGCATGGGGATTTTTAATTTTGAACAATGCCAGCTTGGTCATGAACTGCCATGCCATCCGCTTAAGTCGTGATGTATGTGATATTGTTTCTGGGTGCAAGCCGCTACTCATTAGAATTAAGAAAATATTAATTTATGACCACTTTTTACTCGTATATAATCCCGATGTACACATCAGTCTCTGGACATGCAGCATCACAGACACCAATATTTTTACAATTTATATAAAATTAAACTTTCTGACTGTCTGATAATAGGCACGGATATACAGTTAAAGTTAGAATTATTAGCCCCCCTATATATATATATATATATATATATATATATATATATATATATATATATATATATATATATATGTATTATGTTTCCCAAATGATGTTTAACAGAGCAAGGAAATTTTCACAGCATGCCTGATAATATTTTTTCTTCTGGAGAAAGTCTTATTTGTTTTATTTCGGCTAGAATAAAAGCAGTTTTAGAATTTTTTTAAAACCAGTTTAAAGGTCAATATTATTAGCCCCGTTAAGCTATATATTTTTTTCGATAGTCTACAGAACAAATCATCGTCATACAATAACTTGCCTAATTACCCTAACCTGCCTAGTTAACCTAATTAACCTAGTTAAGCCTTTAAATGTCACTTTAAGCTGAATAGAAGTGTCTTGAAAAATATCTAGTCAAATATTATTTACTGTCATCATGGCAAAGATAAAAGAATTTGGTTATTAGAAATAAGTTATTAAAACTATTATGTTTAGAAATGTGTTGAAAAAAATCTGCTCTCCATTAACAGATTAAAAAAAGGGGTGGCTAATAATTCAGGGAGGTTAATAATTCTGGCTTCAACTGTATATTTATATACTGTTATCGTGATTTTTGAAGGTGTTACGTCGCTTTGTAAATGTTTATTATTACCATTTGATGAGTCTCCCCATACAGTTTGATAGAGCAAATGAACCCGGAAGCCACTTCGCTTGCAGCCACATAACAAGCGGATTATAAACTCCACGGTTCTTATATATATATATATATATATATATTTATTATTATTATTATTATTATTATTATTAATAATAATAATATTAATAATATTATTATTATTATTTATTTTTTTTTTTCCCTGTTGGTTCACTGCCTGATTGAGATAAGAGGGTTTCACACTAGACAAAAAGCACTATGTTAAATTTCATTGTTCCGTGCCATGTCTGTGTATTTTTGAATGGAGTTTCATGCTTTCCTGGTGCTTCTTACGGTGCTTGCAATTAAATGGCCTTTTAACTCGTTTTACACTTGATTAAGCTTATTTAATTGACTATTTTTTAATAAAAAGACATTATCAATGGTTTAAAATGAAACTGTATGTAAAAGGACGTACAGTAATATGAAATTAAAAATAGGAAATTTATTGGTGGCTGAAAAACACTTTCAGTGAATATATCCTATTAAACTGAACTTCAACAGTAACATTTATACTAAACTAAACTGAATCAGTTTTAATATGCTTAGAACTACACCAGCATTCTATTACGTCTCTCCTGCCTGTCTGACTTGCTGGAAAGTTAGACAGGCAGGAAATATTGTTATGGCATTTTATTCTCTCTTTTTTCTTGTAAAACGTGCTATAGTGTAAAGTTGTATGGAATTGAATGTCCATTATTAAATTGCATGTGAAACAACTCTGATAAAATGACCAACGAGGTCGAAAAACAATGGCATAGTCCAAATGAGCTGTTCATTGTAGTTTTTAAAAATTAATTTTTAAAAAACAAAATATCTCCCTTTGGAGTGGACTTTGAAATTTATAATTTTGCAGATGTTTGCACACGCACACACACACACACACACACACACACACACACACACTGACTAAAATAAAAAAAGGTTTAAAAAGCGTTATAGGACTTCTTTGATATGCGCCATTGGTTTTGACTTCTTTCATCTTTAACCTGCTCTTCCTTATTTGGCTGCTCTCTCATAAGCGTCTCTGTTAAAGAGAGTTTGATCAGGGCAACATGGGATTCTGTCTCTGAGTGCTTTGAGGTCACAGCGTCATTGATTTCTGTTTAATCCTGGACACGGCTCTGCTTTATATGCACCTCTCAAGCAGGCTTTAGATAAATGATGAAGTGAGGAGTTCAAAGCCCTGACCTGCTTGCGTTGCCCACCGGAGCTGCTGTCAGGAAGCATAGCACTCATTTGAGTTCTGCCTTATGCTAACATCTCCATTCCTCTTGTGGTCAGAGGTCCAACCCTTTACGTGCAGTTATGCCCTAAGAATTATTTAAATAGCGAGAGGTGATGACCAGTCATGCATTTGAAAGTTATCCCTTATGAAAAGGAACAATCTTGAATAACCTTGAGACTTTGGTGTCGTAAGTGAAGATTATAATATGTTATAACTATCTCTATAACGAGGGCTGGGTGGTCAAATTGGTATTTATTGAACTAACACCATTGTCAATATCGATAAAAAGAAAAAAGATTTGTTATGTAGTTTCGGTTTGAAGCACTATAGTTTTATTTAAATGTGGCCGCTGAACGTGCACCTTGGAAGCAATGTCAATAAGCCAAGGGTGCAAGTTTGTTATTTCCAATGGAGGCGCATGACTTGCATGACCTGCATATGAGAGCGATGTGCACATGTTGTGCAAGTGGCGCCCACATGAACCGCCTGTATTTTTCAACCGGCTCTAGTTTAATGTCCCGAGGGCACCGCAATTCATGCAAGTAAAACTAAGCAACTGAAGTAGCGCAAAGCCCATTGTAAATGGTCAAGAAATCTAATCACACACGCTTGTTGCTTCAGGTCAGAAAAACAACACGTGAATAAAGCCAGAGTGGCTTTTTGGTTTCTTTTCTTGTGCGTCCCAGCCACTAGCTTCTCATCTGAAAGATTTTTTAGCATAGGGCATAATGTAGTCTTTCAACTTCACAATTTGTCATTTTTAGGTATGTACTTGAATAATGATGGCTAGTTCCTTTTCGTAATTTGTTTTTGACTGAGTTTGAGGTTACACCTGAAAGTTTACTTCGATTGTTCAGTATTTACGCTTTACCATTACACACACTTTGTAACATTTTATTTATCAAGTTTAAGAGTCTCTTTAACACTTATGATTATTTTAAACAGATAAGATATTTTGTTTCAGTATTTTTGTTTTTGACTATTAAAACCATTTGCCTTAGTAATGTTGGTAAATTAAAATAAAGTGGTTTAAAAAATCCTATTATTCCTATAAATATTGTTAAAGAAATATTCAATAATTATCTATGTCGAATTATATGAAACGTATCATGGTAATTCTTTTGCAATATCGCCCAGCCCTATCTATAAGTATGTCTGTGTCAAGATAAATAAATAAACGAGTATGTTAATAAATGCATTTGTTGTTTAAAATAAGTGAACATTAATGTAAATAAAACTTAGCTGCATTTCTTGTTTTCATACCGTTTAACTCGGTGTAATTAGTCAACAACAATCAAGACGTATAGATAAATATTAAAAAAAAATTACACATGCTGTCTAATAGGGCTGCACACTATTTGTTTCAGCATCGATATTGCAATGCATCAAATCTGCAATAGTCACATCTATTGTATTTGTTTATATTTGCAAATTGTTTGTTTTATGATGATTGTGTGAATTCTTTCCATTTCGAGTTATTTAGTCCATTTTTTGTGAAATATATTCATATCGCAATATATATTGCTGAAAACAAAATGTCTCAATGTCATTTTTTCCCCAATATCATGCAGCCCTGCCGCAAAACTATCTATTTATTATGTTGAGGGTAATAGAATATAAAGTAATTAATATATCTGATATTAAATATTGAAGTGATATTAAATGTATATATGATGGCTGGTCGATTTATTTTTAGGTGCACTCTTGATAATAACAAACCATTAGTTTTGACTTTCAGCTCAATAACTCCTCATTTTTTATACTTATTGTGGTGATCGTTGAGTTTTAGGTACATAAGCTAAAGTGTTATCTCATGTGCGACAGAATATTTTTATTGTATGGTAACCACTTTTATTTTAAAAATATTTTAAAATGCAGTTGATAATAATGTGCATTATTGCAATAAACAATTAGTTTCTGGTAGACTTTGGAACTGAGACAAGATGCACTTGTGTTAATCGCTGGAGCTGGCACTGTTATCAGCCAACACGGTAATCTCGAGTGGCTAAATGTGGGTTGATTAATGACCAATATATCGCCTATCAGTAAAGGAGTCTCTTGTGTTTGCATTTAGACGGGAGCGCTGCTAAATGCTCTGGTTCAGCTTTGCCACATCTCCACTCCACTGGCCGAGAAGACCTGGGTCCAGCTTTTCCCTCGCCTCTGGAAGATTCTGTCGGACCGCCAGCAGCACGTGAGTACAATCTAAAAATCTTGTTTACTACTTATTCAAAATGAGATGAAAGAACACAATTCTTAAGGTTTTTTGGGGACAACTTAATTGTTTTACGTTCAATCAATTTAAATTAGTAAATACAATAAAGTAAACTGAATCACTTTGTGTTGGGACAACTTGAAGGAATTGTGTGGGAGCCAGCATTTTTTACAGTGTTCTTCACTAACCTTAAAGAGCTGAGCTAACACTTTGCTTAAACGTTTCCTGTCTAGATGCAGCCTCTGACTGCTGGTTTTTGATCTGACCTTTGCTTTGGTTTTAGTCAAGACTGACTGTTTTACTACTAAAAATGCGTACGACTGCAGAATCAGCATTCAAGATGTGTGTTAATGGTGTCGGAGGTTTTGAATGTCCGCTCATCTTCGAGACCTTTGCTTGTGTGGGGGGCTCTAGCGGGCTGTCTTTCTGCCCCTGCTGCTGAACTTAAACAAGCGGCATTTGCTAATGAGCAGAAATTAAACCTTTTATGCAAATATCAGTGTTTAATGGACCAGATGTCTTAAGTATTCAAATTCTCATTAAAGAGCTTTAATTTGGAGTGTCTGAGGCTGACTATTACAACACACATTCAAAATGAAAGTCTTCCACTTCATGGCTTTTGTGGGTGGTATAAAGGAACATTAGGACATATTTACTGCACCAGACTTTTTTTCTGTTATAATAACTAAGCAGTGTTGTATATGTAGCGTGAGCTGTTAAAAAAAAAAAAAACTATAGTAAATGGCCATTAATATATGAAGATATTACATGCATTTTAATTTAAACTTAAATAAAAAAGACATTTGATGCGCTATGCACAAAAATAAAGACACGCACAGTTAATTAACCTTTACATTTATTAATTTATCAGACGCTTTCATTTAAAGCAAGTTAACAATGTGGATAAAAGAAGCAGAGAGCATCTATATATACAGTAGATGGCATGACAAGTCAGTTTAGAAATTGTTTTAATACACACACACACACACACACACTACAAAATGTGTGTCTACAAAATTTAAGACTACTCACCTGTGTGAAGACCACTATGTTTTTTTTTTCTTGAAATTTGGATTGTTTATTAAAAAAGGTTTTTGTTCAAATAAAAGTGCTATTGTTGAACAATTGAATGCTGAAGTATTGATGAAACAGCCGGTCTTTGTCTTCTCATTATGCCGGTCTTTGTCTTCTCAGGTGTGACTCAATGCATAGTAATGATAGTTCACGCCTTCTCGCATAGACCATTGTCACTCAAAAAATGACTTAGAAATTTTAATTCGTTATATTGTTTTCTGTGAGCAAGTGAACAAGATGATTCTCACATAATTTTGAAGCAAAAACACAGGGCTACAAGATCTAGTTCTCAAAAGTCTTGTGCACAAATGTTCTCTGTGTGTTTCCCGGCCTTGTTTCAATGTCTTCAAAATTTTAGTTTTTCACTAGTTTCTTTCTTTCTCAAAAACACAAGCACATACAAACATTCTGCTTAAGTATTATTGTAGCCCAACTTGTGCTGTTTACAGTGTTATCACACTTTAGCCATTTATATGTTTTTAAGATACTGAAAACAACACAAATGTCAGTGCAGTAAATCAATGCAATTAAAAATAACTTTTAAATGTATAAATAAATAGACAATGAAAGCAACAAAATAACTGGATTTTAGGTCTGTTTTATTCCTATTTACAAAGTAAGAGCCTCTAATTGATAGAAAGCACTATTGTGTCTCTGCATTCAAACAATATATAAAGTTAACTAAACCTTTTCCAGGTATGTTTGAATTAGAAAAGAGGATTTGGTTGACACAGTGGCACAGTGAACTATCAATTTAAGGTGAGCCTAGCTTGTGAAATCAATCAGTTTAATTTGTATACATATCTGAATACACAGACACAACAGTCCCTTAATTTATACACATTTTAATGATTCAGTTATTAAACTGATCATTTTATTCTTCATTTTATTTCTAACCGGCACTCCTGGCCCTTCTTAGCATTTAGACGTTCTTCATTTATTTGCATTCAATTCAATTCAAGCTTTTTGTACATTGTATATGGCACTCCTTGTCCATAATATGCTGCATTCATCTTTGATATTTAGCTTTTTTATTGGTATTTATTTGTCTTTTTTTTTGAGAACAAAGGTAAACTAAAAGTAATAATAGGAAAGATTTATTTATTATTGACACACAACCAGTTAAATTCAAAATGCAGTCTAATGTTAACTGCTGTCTAGTGAACTGATATACATCCTTGATTTTAAATTTTTTCTAGGCACTGTCTGGCGAGATGGGTCCATTCCTATGTAGCGGCAGTCACCAAGCTCAGCGAGATTGCCAACCCAGTGCTCTAAACTGCTTCGTGGAAGCCATGTCCCAGTGTGTGCCACCCATACCCATCAGGCCGTGTGTGCTGAAGTACTTGGGCAAAACCCACAATCTTTGGTTACGCTCCACCCTGATGCTGGAGCAGCAAGCTTTTGAAAAAGGCCTCAACTTGCACATCAAACCCAAACAGAGCACCGAGTTCTACGAGCAGGAAAGCATCACTCCTCCGCAGCAGGTACAGCGATGCCCTTCTTCAGTCTTCGTTGTCATTGATGTCATTGGCGGAGGAAGTTTTGCTTTGTGAAGGTTCACGAAGTGTCGCTCGAAATGAACTTGTGTGCTGAATTTCCAATCTGCTTTGTTGTGACCTGTCAATGATTTGGGTTTGAAGTATCCCTGCATTCAAGCTGCTTATGCTAAGCAGCCGTCTCATTGGGGCACCTCTGAATATGGATGTGTTTGTCCTCTATATTCTTTGAAGATGTGTTCTTGTATTCCCTCAGGAGATCCTCGACTCGCTTGCGGAGCTTTACTCCCTACTGCAAGAGGAGGACATGTGGGCCGGGCTGTGGCAGAAGAGATGCAAGTTCCCAGAGACGAGCACTGCCATTGCATACGAACAGCATGGCTTCTTTGAACAGGTGAGAAACCGGAATCATCGGTTCAGCGTGGATGTAGTTAGGGCCTTGTGATTTCCATAACGTGGAAAATACGGATGGAATTGTGAAAATTGGACATAATGTCAAGCTGAACGTGAAAATGAGTTGTACTGAATCAAAATTTCATTGCAAAAAAAGCTAGATAGAATGAAATGTTAGCAAACAGTATAAACATGTTTTAGTTCATCTCACCTCAAAGCAAGTCTAAAAGAATTTGAAGCTAAACTTAGGCTAGTGACGTTGGAACAATATTTACACAATGTTAAAATTTTCATTCCGCACAAAGCTAATCATTTGCGTGGTTTGCACATATCATGTCTGCTTAACATTATTTGCATTATATATGTTGTTTTGAAGTGGATGTCACAGCATGTTGTAAATTATAAAAGGCAAAACTTATATTCCAGAAAATAAAATAGTACATCCAAAATTAGTTGGTACGTTTAAATTAATATAAAATTTGAATATTAAATAGCAATTTTTTTTTTTGCAATTACATTTTGACATTAATTTTTGAAGTGAAACTGCACTGAAAAAAATTATTCAAAGATGATTCCTTGGATTTACTCAATTCTTTTACGTTAAGTTGTTATAAACAATTTATTTGGGCTGAATTTAACAATCAAATTAAGTTGAACATCTTCAAATTTAATTTGTTTGTTTAAATTCAACACAAATAAATTGTTTGCAACAGTTTTGCATGCAACACTTTTTTTCAGTGTATGTCTGAAGATGTGGAAATGGCCTGTGCAATACACAAATCCAGTTATTTAAACAATTGATGTTAATTGCATTTTATTTGTTGTTTTCACAGGGTATCCTCAGGGTCTTAAAAAGTATTAAAACTTCATATATCAGTTATGAAAAACATTTAAGACTCCTAAAAAGTCTTAATCCTGTTTTTATGAGGTCTTAAATCTTCAACAAGTGTTGTCCAAGTTTTAATTCATGTGTTTGACTCACTTGAAAAAGCATAAATATTTTTTATTTTATATATTTATTTATTTAGGGTTTATTTTCCTCAATTGGTTCTGGCCGGGTGCGTCCGGCCAAGCTCCTCTGTCCGGGTGATGTCATGTAATTTAAGACAAATGCATGTGATGTGACGCGCTCCACATGTAGCGAAAACATTGAGTAGGGCTATTTAATTGGTGGCCTAAGAGGCAATTTGTTCTGACCCTTCAAATAATGTGACCAAAACATAAATTTTTTTTTTTTTTAGGTTCAGTCAAAAAACGACCAATATAGTTATGAAGTGGTGTGCATCTTATCAATACAGCAATATCTGCAGTTGAAGGCTGCGCAGAGCGAGTCACTGAAATTGAGTGACGAGAGCAGCCGAAAACATTTGGATACTTAAGCTTAAAGGCTTCTCAACGCCACGTTTCTGTTGCATGGATTGAAACTACTGCAACTAAACAAAGTTATGCCACCTGTGAGCTGGTTTAAAGTTCTGAGCTTATATCACATATCGCTTCTTTTCCGCACGCAAGTTCGTTATTTCCAATATTAGAATGTATGCCAGTATGCGTGCGAAAGCAGAGTGATGCGATCGCGCCTCCAGATGCACCTAGCACTGCTTTTGTTGTGCTTTGAATTACGACATTTGAATGTTTGTACAATTAAAAAAAAAAAAGCCACATTGTACAATGCACAGTTATTATGTAGTTTCAAAATACAATGTATTAACATTTTAATGTAGAAAAATACGACGTAGGTGTCTTAAGCAGCGAAAATACAACATATAGGCTCTTGTATGCTGTTTTGTCATCACTCGTATTGCAAGTCGTATCTCTCCGGCCCCTCATTTTGGGTGCTTTTTTTATGAACTGGCTCTCATGACAAACTAATTGAATAGCCCTGCCATAGAGCAAAACTGACGGCAAAATGGGAAAATGAAAGTTTGCATACTCCTGGTTGGAAAAAGACGAGTTTAAACTGTGGCTGAAACCTGTCGCTGAAAACAACTGCGTAATTTATTCTTTCAAGGTTTGTTTCTTCCGGGCTTATCTAAGTTCTGTCGCACAGTTGTGCTCCCTTCATTTATTTACCTACAACTGCTTATTTACAACTGTTTATCAAGTTAAAGGTTTGATACTGATTGGAACTCGAAGTGGCGATGAGATCTTAAAATATTCTTAGGTGTTTAAAAAGTCTTAAAAAGGTATTGAAATTCCCTTTATGATTCCTGCATATACCCTGTTTTAGTAATACTAATATTCTAGGATAAAAAAATAGGATATCAAAAATAGAGCAGTTAATTAAATTAGGTCTATGAATATAAAATGCATTTCAAAAATAATTTACAATTTTAAAATATTCATATTTTTTCTTTTAATTACCAGAGTTGTTAGCAATAAATTTGTTCAGAAAAAGAAAATAAGGCAGACAACACTACTTTTCAAATAAGTAAATAAAAAATTTGGTTATTAAAATGTCTAATTATTTTTGTATAAAAACAGTACATAATTAAAACTGAAAATGTGAAATTTGGAAGTACAGTCCAATGTGTCATTCTCAATATCTTAAGATGATGCAGACCACTAATGCTGGTTTCATCTTCATTAGGCTCAAGAAACCTATGAGAAAGCAATGGAGAAAGCACGCAAGGAGCACAATGTCTCACCCGCCATCTTTCCAGAGTACCAGCTGTGGGAAGATCACTGGATCCGGTGAGTTGAATGACCAGTTGAATGACCAGTAACAGAGAACAAAAAAAACTTCAACTATTTCTTTTCATTGCTTTTTTTTTTTCATTTTATTTCATTTTGTCTTGAACCTCTATAATGTAATTTAGTAAACCAAAATGCTGCTTTTATTTTCAGCTGTTCTAAAGAGCTGAACCAGTGGGAGCCTCTGACTGAGTATGGACAATCTAAAGGACATAACAACCCATACCTGGTGCTGGAGTGTGCCTGGAGAGTGTCCAACTGGGCTGCCATGAAAGAGGCTCTGGTGCAGGTAAGCTCACTGTAATCATTATGCTCACCTAGGCAATTACTTGATGAAACGTATAAAGTTATATAGATTTGAAATAATAGTTGTATCATTATAACTGTTTCTACGGTGATTCAAATATGTTAATGGTTACGTTACATTTTAAAGATGTAAAATGTTTTGTTATTTTTTTGTAATGCCTAAAACTTTGTTCTGGTGAAAATTTACTGAATATGCCTAAAGTGACATGGGTAAAAATAACACCTCAAATCATCATTGGAGTGTCACTTTATTGTTAAATGTGAAAACGCCCCACTTTTATACATTATGCAGAAAGTAACACACTAACCAGGCTTGCCGAATTGTTTATGAGTGTTCAGAATTGTAGCCTTGCCGTCGGTGGGTAATTTATGGGCTTCACTTCTAAAACAAAGTAGAAAAAGTGTGTGATAGGAGCCGGACACATTATAAATACTCTTGGCTCTTGTTCAAGGAGACTTGGAACGAATCCATTCAGGTTTCTGTCCTAAGGTGACACCTAATTAAATTGTCCAGCCCAGCAGCCCTCCCACTCCTCCTCCTCCTTCCCTCTCCGTTCACTTTGCATCTAATATTTACGGATACGTGCTTGAATAATTGCTCAAACATCTGCTGGGAAGTGATTTGTTTTCTCCGTTCCAGGGGAGGCGGCTTGGCAGCAGCAGTTGCTCTCAGGAAGTTTAAATGTCCCCGCTTTCAATTAAAGGCGGGTGGATAAGGCTAGTCCTGACGCAGGGTTATTTATGAAATGTCGGCTGTGATAAGCATTCACTGACCGGAGAGTCTAAATCTCTTCACGTAGTCATACTGTACAATGCCAACAAACAGACTTTTTATTCTTTCTACCACCACTTATTAGGATTGCTTCATTAGGAAACGGGCTGATCAGATGAACATGATCAAAGCTAGTTGTTATAGCAAGCTCAAGCTGAGATCAGGACAAGGCTTTTAAGAGAATTGGTCACTAAAATGGTACGAAAGTACTGTTATTAAAATTAAAATCTTGAATCACTTAAATTTATGTATAGATTGTTTGATTGATTCACTGAAATTAGTATTTTTATTAAGAAATGTAGTTTTAGCGTTGTTGAAAAATGTTTCTTGACATGTAATTGAGTAAATTAAAATGATTTTTTTGTTTTGTTTTAGAATGTGCCTTGTTAATGTCATGAGCATAAAAACAAGCACCAGTCACTGTCCAAATCCTTTACCTGCGAATGGTGACCTGTAATAGTGATATCTGCGTATGTCTACTTGGTAGGGATTCGATAAAATTCCCAATACTGCTCTCACATTGCGTTGTTTTATTATTATTATTATTATTATTATTATTATTATTATTGTTATTATTATTTATTTCAATGTTTTAAAAAATTGTTTAGACATCTTAGAAATAGACAAATGCCTTTTTATTAAATGTTTATATTAATTAAATTATTTAATTATTTGTAAGATAAAAAAATGTTTTTTATTAAATAATGACACTTGCTATTTTAAAAAGAAAATAATATTAATAAAATTATTAATAATAGAAATATAAATTCCTGCTTGTTATAACATGTAATGTTTACCAACATTAATTTAATAGTACAAATTTGAATTGGTAAAGCTGGAAGAGTTTGAGTTTGCCATGAAGTGAAGATCACTCCACTGCTGGGTCTCAATCACAAATTAATGAGGGGCCATATCAGAGACTGACAATCCATAAGAGGGCTGTTTTAACATTCTAGCACACAAAATATTTGATTTATATGATGCACTCAGATATTTTTCAAAGCTCCTTTTTGTTTCTTGTACATATTGAAGAGGTAGTTTAAATTGCTCATATAATGTCCCAATCAATTGTTGCTTAACCAAAAGTTTAACAGATAGCAAAAGACATCAAAATGCATTTTGGGTAACTTTAGTGACTTTACTGGCAATTGTTCTTCTCAATATCATTCCTTTTTGTAAAACTACAACAAAGAGGGGTAAAGTATGTATATATTCTTTAACATGTTCAATTTAGCCAGCAGGTAAATTTTACTAATGCACATTTTTTATATAAATCTTATTATGCATATTAGAAAAATCAATTAATAAGACCATTTTAATCGAATATTAGCAAAATTAGCATATTTACATCACCAGCATAATGTGCCAGCCATGAAGAGGTTTGTACAACAAAATACAGGATGGTAGAAAATTATTTGATTAAAATCAAATGACCCTTAAATATTTACAAAAATGTAGTTTTATTAAAAATAGAGCACTTATGGACGTGATAATATTGCACATAATAATCTGCTTGTGCATTACTCGTGAGTAAAACCGAAAGTACCTTGAGTGTCCAGTTGGTGAGGGGGTCAAAATCACAAGTGGCTATGCGACTGCACAACAATAATAGTGATTCAAAAATATGTTTTGTTGGGCTGAAATTCAATACATTTTTGACATCTGTTGTGGGCCAGAGGGAGAAGGAGGGTGGCCGCAAATGGCCCGCGGGCCGTCATTTTGAGAACCCTGGGATAGAGCATGCAGATGAGAAGACATGCACACTGCTGTAACAGGGTAACTGCGGGACCTGACCAGATTTTCTGGTGATGTGAGATTAATTTACCATATAAAATGCTGTAATGCTCAGATCTCTGGTGCAATTTGAATGGGAGCGGGTGGTCAACATTAGGTAATCCCACACTCAACATCCTTTCAGAAAAGCATATCTGCACTTTAAGCTGGATTTATACTTTCACCTGGGCCCACAGTGCAAGCAGCAGACTGCAAACACTCACTTTTGAGTTGTGGAGGCTTTTCATTACTCATTGATATAAATCATATGTACAGCCTCTATTCTGGACTGTATAGACTGTGCATGGATGGACTAGTGCTTTCCGCTTCATGCATTGTATTCATGCGACAGTGCATGCAGCATAACAGCCCTCAAACTGAACAGTCAGGTTGTCGATGACAGCAGAATAAATATGACAGAGCAAAATTTCTTTGAAGGACATTTAACTTGGAATATAGGGGTGTCAAAATTAATTGTTTCTTCGGTGCACCGCTATGCAGACACGGACAATTCGGTATCGGTTCAGTAATAATCATAACCGTTATTATGTACTGACGTCATTTATCTCCTATGCGCTCTGTCGCGAGGGAGGTGAGCACGAGTATTTACAACACTCAGTCAACTCAGGGCCGGCCCATGGTATAGGCACCATAGACAAATGCTAAGGGCGCTGTATATCCAAGGGGGCGCCAGAAATGAGCGCGGTTCAGTTGGTTTTGCTTTCGATATTCCTGACATACATTCCGTTAACGTTATAGACGGCAATAACTTAAAAGCCTCTTACCCTAAAAAGATCTAAAGTGTGTTTCCTACAAAAATGACAAGCTGGTTATGTTTCACAGCTGTCTTTCTTTTTTTCGCTCGACATTACGAGCACTGCTCCGTTTAAGCCCTCGCAATATGTGTTTAGCCGGGAGAGCTCGCATTGAGAGGAGCTCTCAGTAAGGGACCGTCGGAAAAGTGCTTATTTTTTTCGTTTTTCTGCTCCGCTCAGCACTAGCTCTCTCTGTTGCGAGGGCTTAAGTGTTTGTGTTTGTGTGTGTGATTTTGTTAGGTGCTGTCTATGTTTGTGTATGTGTTTGAATAAGAGACAGTGTGGTGCTGTGTGTCTGTGTGTTTTTACAGACAGCTTGTTATAGCCTCCCCCCTAAAATATAACATTGTATATGGAAAGCATCGTCAATGCACCGTGATTCACCGAGATATCGAATTATACCGAATCGAAGGCATGATAATCGTAACCGAACCGTGAGACCAGTAAAGGTTCACAACTCTATTGGAATATAAAATAAAAATGTTGTAAAAATTTATTTATTTTTTCTGTGACACTTTTTCTTAATGTGTTGACAGAAATGTTAAAAGTAAATTGATGTTAATTAAAAATAAGTCATACAATTTTACAACCTACATTTTTGTTTGCCATTCCTCTCAATATACAGTGCTCAGCATGCAGTATATAAGTACACCCCTCACAAATCACCATGTTTTTTTTTCAGCAGCAGACATTGTAAATTTGCAAAGACCTCAAAAAACATAGATATGCTGACATTTCTTTTAAAAAAAATTTAAATGCCAGCATAGTCACGGTTTTAGTTTAAATTATTTTTTTTTCTTTTGAATTTAAAATAATATCAGTTTATTTATTGCAGAAAATGTGTTATTTTACTAAAAATGTGCAGCATTTAAGAATGAAAGCGCTCAACACCTTAAATTTGTATCAAATAATTTTGTTAAAACATTTTGACTAAATCGTGAATTTTGAGATTAGTATCGTGAATCGTATCAATCCTGAGTCAGGTGATTTGTTACATCCGTAAATGCGAGCTGCCCATAATTATCTCTTTTTGGTCTAAAATAAGTTGAAAACAGACAAGTTAAAATGGCTAAACTTAATAATAAAAAATAATTATAGTAATAACTATACAATTTTGAATTCAAGTATGTGTTATCACAGTGGTGATTTTCTGTTCGTCAGGTGGAGCTGAGCTGTCCGAAGGAGATGGCCTGGAAGGTGAACATGCATCGTGGCTACCTGGCCATCTGTCACCCTGAGGAGCAGCAGCTCAACTTCATCGAGCGGCTGGTGGAGATGGCCAGCAGCCTGGCCATCAGAGAATGGAGGAGACTTCCACACATCGTTTCTCACGTCCACACACCCCTGCTGCAGGTGAGGACGTCAGTTTGCGAGCACCCTTTAACCAGACGTTCGCCAGCTGTAATTTAATTGTTTTCTGGATTTTTTTTTTTTTTTTCCCAAGCAGAATAACTCAATCAGAGCACCACTAGCGATCCAATCTAAATTGATTGTCAATTTTAAATGATGGCCTCTTAAAAGCAGAACATCTGGTCAGATTTTACCACTGACAAGCGGGAGATTCGGGCAAACTCATTTGGCATGTGTGCGTGCGACTTTATACAAACCCAGAAGAGAATGGTTTAAGCGCACACTTTTCTTATAATTCTCTTTTTTTTTTTTTGTTCTGCATTTTTGCACAATATCATTTCTTCTTTTGTCAGACCTGGTCCCTTCTTCCCTCTTCCTCCCCTTTGGCCCTTTCTAAAATGGCTGAGATAGTGTTGACTGCACCATTGTGGCGCTCAATAGGCAGCTTGTATTAATATTCAGCGCAAAGATCAGCCTCCTGACTACCACACGCATAATCAGGCAGAGCACACAATGGGACGGAGCTGAGGTGACGTGTGCGTGTAGATTAGGGTAATGTGTGAGAGCTGTCCACGCACCGCAGCCTCAGAGCACTGTTAGAGCCGACTCTTGAGCTCGGTTGTGGGGCGATGGCAAACATGACAGCCAAATTGAGGAAATGAGGTGTTGTTGGTAGAGATTGGGATTGCAACAAATCTGGTCTCACGGGTAATGGTTGATTGTTCTGTGGTCCGCATGATTGAACAGTTGGATAGGGGGGATGTCATTACAACATCTTAGATAAATATGTATATATATATATTTTTTGTATTTTAATGTTTTTATTGGTCTTTGTTGTTGTGTATTAATGTAATTTTGTGTTATTTTTGATGGACCTCAGGAAGAATAGCCACTACCTTGGTAGTGGCGAATGGGGATCCTGATAAATAAAAAATAAAAAAATAAATACAAAAAAAAAATTAGGTGAGTAAATGTTTTAATACAAAAAGACAAAAACTAGGGCTGTGCGATTAATTGAAATCGAATCACACAATTTGAAACATTGTGATTTTTTTAATTGCAACAGGCTGCAATAAGAAATATATATCTATTATTAAATTTCCCCCACCCAGAGCAAATGCGTGACTGCCGGTGTCCTGACATTTGATCCTACCCGTCAAATTATTCTACCAACACTGTATTTGAATGGTTCTGAGGTTGGGGTTAGGGATCAGGTTGGTTAGGGCGATATTACAGCTTCATATCACACTAATCCACATTAAAAGTTACCGTACGTTCACACCGAAAGCGGCGACAGCGTCAAAGTAGCCGGAAGTCATTCATTTTCAATGAGAGCCAGCGGCGATAAGCGGCGAGGAGCAGCGCGGTGCGTCTTCGCCGACGTGAGCGTCGAGGAGAGTTGAAATGAAGTCAACTTTATGGTAATGAGCTATGACGCGGTTCGGCGGCAAGCAATCAGAATGAAGACGTCCATCGCTTGATAGCAGTTCAGAGAACACAGACCTGTGAACTTTGGTTCTGACCACAGTTGTTCTCAAGGGTTTGATTATTGCGGTCGCCGGATTTCCAATTATTTCCAATTTTTTCCTGCAGGAACATACATTAAATAAGTTACTGGCGAGTTACTGATGTTCATTATTGTTATATAAATTTATCTTAAAAAAGCGGGAATCTCATTCGATGTGACGATACAAAACAGTACTGCTGCTTCAGGATATTTCAGACATATGGACACATATTGGATAAATAGAGCAAAGCCGCACCACACGCAACTTGATCTTCCATTGTTGTATGAATTTGATAAGAAGTGCGCAACATTTTCACGCTAGAAACATGTTTTATGCAGGAATGTAACTGACATGCTGCAACGGCTCCTTTAAATACGAGATCAATGTAGCGAGTTTTGACGCTCTCGCCGCAGGAGCTGAAGGCAGAGAGCGTTGTCGCCAGGGTGGCCAGAGCGACCTTGGACGCTCTCGCCGCTTTCGGTGTGAACGTACGGTTACACTGGTAGCATAATCTGATGGATAGCATGATGCGCCATCAAAATGTTCTACCTACTTTTTAAATGGAAGGTAGGACAATCTGACAATGTAGGACAAGAACGCTGGCTGTGTGTGATAGCCTTACTAGCCAAACGAGTGGGCACACTTTCATTCTGCCCAATCAGAATTTCGCAACCGAGCGACACCCACAATTAAGAAAAAGAGAAAACAAACAGGAAAGCGCTGACAACTGGGGTTATTGTGTCTGCTGCATTTGTAAAACAGGAATATTTTGGTTACAGACACTTTCCCAGACACTGAACAAAAACAAGTAATTTTTAAGAGCTGTTGCAGAATTGTTGCCACAGCTTACAGATTATTAAGCTGAAGATTGACTACAAAACGTAATGGTTAATAAAAATCATATTATCTGTCAAAAAATCTAAATGAGATACTTTCCACGAAATGCACAGCCTTAACAAAACCTAAACTTCAAAAGGCAAAGCTAATTTATGAAGTACTTAAAAAAAGTATTTCCAGATTCTAAAATCAATCATTATTTGTATTATTTGCACTATAATACACACTACAATGTGGATATTTCCCAAGTCAATGATGACTAATCATTTCTTTATAAATTGAAAATGACATTTTTCCTCTACGATTCTAAAACAAACAAAAAAACATACTTAGCATCATACACAGGAACAATTTTAATACTTCAACATTTTATTAATTTAAATGAGTTTTTTATAGGGTACCCATGATGGAAATAATCTTTTTTTAAGCTGTTTGGACAAAACTGTGAGTAGATAAGGTGTGTCCACAGTCATATTGTGTTGATATAAATACATTAAGTCTCTCTTTTTTTTTTTCTTCCAAAAATTATTATTCAAATTCTTCCCATTTTAAGGCCCACCGCAACGTGATGTAGGAGTGCGGTTTCCCCACCCACCGAACTGATTGACAGCCGCATATTAACATGTCTCTGTAGTAATGTGTATAATCATATCAACAAGACGAGATGTGTGCAAAGCAACTGGGATTATAAGATCTGTTCAGCTCTCTTTGATAATCAGTCATCATTAAATGTAATCAAGAATGAGTTTTACAAGTTTAAAATGTTTTTAAAACCATGCATGTCTGTAATGAATTACAGCGATTTTACCGTCTTTATCACCACAGCTGCATGTTAGTACAATTATAAAAGAAAATGCTTAAATCCCGGTTTGTAGATGTTAAATCAGGTTTATTTGTACATAAACATAGTTGATGCCCATACAGCAGTGGATATTAACGTGTATTCTGTCATCTTTGCCGTGCAAAAATAGTGCAAATTTAAACACGCGCAGTGTGTGAACTTTGTTACGACATTGTGTGTGACTCGTTGCAGAAAGACTTGAATACATCAACAAATACATCAAATAATCATTGGTAAAGTTCTTACTGTAATATTTCTCACAAACGTTACGTGTGATCTGCTTCCTTCATATCTGTCATTGCGCTATTTATTCTAATGCAGCCGAGGCAGAGATTGTGGCACACTCTGACTGACACATAGGAAAAGTGGGCGGGAATAACTAGCATTAAAGGCACAGGCAACAAAAACAGCTGCATGGTGGTTCAGAGCAGGAAAATTGCAATATTTTGAAAGGTACAATTAATAGTCTGATGGGTGTCTTGAGCTGAAACTTTACAGACACATTCTGGTGACAGAAATAACTTGTCTTAAATCTTGAAAAAGGGGTCAAATAGGTACCCTTTAAATTTGAATGAATATTTAAGTTACTCGTCAGTGAAGAAATCAATGAAAACATGACTTGGGATATTCAGAATTGGCGTTTTTATTGTTCATTTTTTTGCATACCTGCATCTAAAGTCTATAAATTTTACCTGTTTGAGCTCAGGTTTAAAGCTTATTGTATGTAAGGAACTGTGCTTGCTGTTGGCATGTAATAATGGCCATTCTTCAGTGGCTGTTTTCGTCCATTCAGAAATACCCCAAAGCCATTGACTTGAGTGATAATTGAATTTCCTGATAATTGAATCTGTTTACACCTGCACTCCCTAATACAAGCATACAGAAAAACCGAGTCCAATAGGAGAGATTTGAATGGACGGGAGAGGCAGACAGGAGCCGCGAGACAGACAGAGAGAGGGAGAGTGAGAACGCCACCAAGTTTAAAATGGCTCGTAATTACTTTTCCCCCATCAGATAGTGTTTGATTAAATACCTGCAAGAAAATTAAATTTACATGATGAATGGGCACTCAGAATGAAGGTTATAATGTGCCATCAGCTGATATTAACAGATAATTGTGAAAAATATTGTATTGCTTAATTTATTTTGTTTTGGGGGGGAGGGGGGTTGATTTGGCAAGTCTATAGACTGATTTGAGGCATTTATCTTGTAAACCAGGCATTACTATTGAACGGATTGTTTTTGGATGCGTTTATGTGCGTTCACGGGGCATAATTCATTATCACAGCTCGAGCTACTCATCGTGTGCATGGTAAACCATCATGCTGTAAATCACCTTGTAAGTGCCAGACTGCCTCCCTCACATCTTTCTTTTCCAATTCGCAGAAGAGATTAAAGATCCACGTGGCATTTCGAGTGAGTGAGTGTGTGTGTTTGCCGCCTGGTATGTTAAGGTCATGCATCAATAGTTTGTAAGAAATGGGTAGCAGTTTTTGGGTCACCGTGGTCCATGTCCTCTGCTGGTGTGGTTTAACTGTGGTCTGAGAGCGTGATTAGGCATTAAGGGAATATACGCTTCACTTGTGCGCTTCCCTCTGCCTGTTCTCTGAGTAAATGGCTTTTAAGATACTTTGATCCGTCCATCCATTCGTTCAGCCATCTCGAGAGTTCGTTTCTCTATTTCTTTTTCTTTCTCAATAGGAATCATAAGCCTGTAATACAGTCGCAGTAATGGATTTTGAAGTGTGTGTGCGCGCGGTTTCTTGAATGACTGTAGCCATCCGAATTAAACAGAACAGAAGCTTTTAAAAGAGCTTGAGGATGTTGCTTCTTGAGGATGTTTATTATTATATCTCATCTGCTTATTTCTGGATATTTGTCATTCAGGCTGCCCAGCAGATCATCGAGCTACAGGAAGCGGCTCAGATTAACGCAGGACTGCAGCCTGCCAACCTGGGCCGCAACACCAGCCTCCATGACATGAAAACTGTGGTGAAGACCTGGAGAAACAGACTGCCGATTGTATCTGACGACCTTTCTCATTGGAGCAGCATTTTTATGTGGCGTCAGCACCATTATCAAGGTATGACAAAATATCAAAACTTAGGGTTCCCATAGGTCATGGGAATTCTGACTTTCAATGAATTTTAAAAGGTCTGTTTGAATGTCAGGGACTTTTTAAAAAAAAATTTGGTCAAGTCATGCAATATCAGGGATTTTTGTTTGCCGCTTTAAATTTTAGTTTCCTATAGTGATGCTCATTTCAGTAATTTTGCCAACCGACAACCGCAGCTTGTTAACTGGTCAATTTTATTAAATTATTTTTTAATAAAAAAAATCAACATGTCTGTTTTTTGTCTGACACATTAAATATTGCATTTTAAAATACTGATTTATTTTAACAAACGAACATATTAACTACAGAGCATCTTTACACACTTGCAGTGTTTCCAACAACATAGAAAAAGGAATAAATAAAATAAAAAATAAAATATATAGTTCTGCCCTAGATATTATTGTCTTCAATTAAAAATTTAGATTACAAAATGAAAACACTGACTAAATCCTTTTAAAAACCAACATAGGCAGTTTTTTCCCTCTGATATTTTTTTTTCTTGCATCAAATAAAAATAGCAGGCTGCCTCAGATCCATCGCTCCCCAGAAAATTAGCATTTAATTAATGTTCCACTGTTATTCTTATATCACAAACATCTGTAGTTTTTAAATGAAGTCATTAAAGATTAAAGATGATGTCTTGAGCATCTGGTTTTACCTTATAAAACTTTTATTTTTTGCTTTTATTTCCTCTCTCACTTGCAGTTTATGCACATGCTGCGTGTAATGAAAGACAATGACACTCGTTATCAACATATGTTGACCTTTTGTAAAGTATAGGCTACTACAGCATAAAACAATTTTCTTGTTTACATATGATATTACATAGATAGATTATGTAGATTATGTAGGCTATTTTAAAAATGGATGTTTTTTAAGAATTATTAATAATTAATATTTGTAAGGTTGGTTTGTTGGTTGTACACTGAAATATATATATATATATATTCAGTCATTTTCTTTTCGGCTTAGTCCCTTTATTAAACATCCATACATACTCATTCACACACATACACTATATATATATATATATATATATATATATATATAGTGTATATGTTTTTTTAGATAAATGTTTTTTATATATGTACTTTTTTCTCGTCGTTTCTCACCTCTCATTATGGTCAGGATATTTTTCAGTTTCCTTTTATAGCCACTTGACGGGTACAGACTGGTGACTGTGTTTGACTTAACTAAGCCAAACATATCAGGATAATATAAAATGCTTTGTTTTCAAATTGACCATTTTAAAAACTGTGTATAAAAAGTAGATGACGAAAAAGCTAAATATGGTGTTTATAAAATTACTATCAGACTGTCAAACATAGAAAAAGGAACACTTCACACACTTTAATTTTTTTTTTTTTATCTGAGGTAAATTGTCCATTGTTCTCAAATTGTCTGTAGAGTCATGAGAAAATTATATTCAAGCTAAACCCATTTTAATATTGTCTTTGTTTTAACAATATTTTAAGATAGTATTAACGCTAGTTGGGTGTTGGGGATGTTTTCATCCAATCTGGGGTAACTTAGTTTTAATTTTAACCACAGCTTTCTATGTGTTTAAGCAAATTGAATGGTTTTTGGTGACAAATCTTATTTTGGGACATATTTCTGGAAAACGCTTAGAAAAAGAAATCAACAATACACTCTGGGTAAATTTTCTACCCTTTCATTATGTTTGTGGCTGTCTTTGCCCTATTGACTTTCACAATAATCACATTTTTATTGCAAAGCCATGACACCATTTAATTATGCATTCTTGATTGTTGCTGGTTATGCCTGTTGGAAAGTTTATTTTTTTAAAACATACACAATTTGGTCAATACATAAGGGTTGATATATAAGCACATAATATGTTTAGTATATAAGCATATAATATAATTAATATAATAATTAATATACAAGCATAAAATATATTTAGTATACAAGCATATCATTTATTTAATATATAAGCATATAAAATATTTAATATATATGCATATCATATATTTTTATTTTCATTAGATGCAGGGGTATAACAGATCCCAACCCACAGTTCGCAATGCACGTGACCTGTGGATTAATAACTTTTTTGAACTTGTAGGTTAATCCAACATTTATAACAATTGCAGAGAGATCGCCTACTGCGTTGTTCAAATCACGTGTATGAAAGCACTTTCATTCATGTGACGGAAAAAGTTGTGGTGGGACCTAGCTAAATGCTTTCTTAGGTTATTAATTACAGGTGTTTTCTGTCCCTGCATGTTAAGCCTGCATTAATGCATTCAATGTAAAGCTGCACAATTAAACATTAAAACATTGTGATCTCAATTCAAACCTGCCTAACAAGAATGACAAATGATGATGATTTGCATGTGTTTATTAATCCTTCGAAGTGCTGCATTCAAATCTGCGTTTTATCGAGAGAAATTTAGTTCAGACACTTTGTCAGTTAATTACAAACAATTAAATAACACAGAAGTACTGGGAGAACAGTTTAGAGTTCAGATATAAACACTGATGTTAATGGTGAAGATTAAAATCACCTTTTAATGGAACTTGAAGCTGATGAATGTTGTAGCAATGACAAACCATCAGCTGGCGACAAACAACCATCAAAATTATGTCACTGAATAGGTTTTCCAAAATGATCCACCTATAATGAAACATGAAGTGTTATGTGTGAATTGTTGAATCATTAATTGAAAATAAATATGAAATAAATTGAAAATAAAAGATTTTTTTATTTAGCGTTATCAGCAAGTGTAGCAAAGATCGTTGTTCGTAATAAATATTTTCCTTTTTTTTTTTTTTTTTTTTTTTTGCTGGTTTTTTCTTGAGTTTTATTGTCATTTAAATTACAGGTTCTAAGTTATTTTTGTCAAAAGCGATTATAATAGTAATATTTTTGTAAAAATGGGAAGCAAATTACATTTGTCTCCTCCCTTTTTGTCCAATCCTTGACTCAAAAACCGTAGTGAATCCGAACTGAGATTTGTGATCCGTTACACCACTAATAAGATGTCATGGTAATTAAGATTTTTTTTTTAGTCAGGGTAAATTCTAGTAATTTGGCTTAAAGTGTGAACCCTGAAAATAAATTATCATGATGTTCAGATTATTGCAGTGCATTTGTTTCAACTGATTTCTTTTTTTTGTCTCTGCAGCCATTGTGACTGCATATGAAAACAACACACAACATGACCCAAACACTAACAATGCCATGCTTGGAGTGCACGCCTCAGCATCTGCTATTATTCAGTATGGAAAGATTGCTCGAAAGCAAGGTCTGGTCAACGTGGCTTTGGACATTCTGAGTCGCATTCATACCATCCCTACAGTGCCTATTGTAGACTGCTTCCAGAAGATTCGTCAGCAGGTTAAATGCTATCTGCAGTTGGCCGGAGTCATGGGCAAGAATGAATGCATGCAGGTGAGTGAAACATAAGCATTGAAAATGAGTAAAAAATAAATAACGATCTACAGTATACTGGTACTGGAATTAAACAGGTGTTTATCATATTTCAAACCGTTCGATAGTAACATTTTGTATTTGACACGCTGCTGTTTTGAAGTTCATCTGTAGGTGGCTGCACAATTTGCTGCTGAAACTGGCCCAGCTGATTCTGCATTATTTTACATAATAAAATAGATAATATAGTTGAATGAACTGACATCACTTAACTTGTATGCAAGCTTTTCTATAAATCATGTGTTGCCACAGGAAGTAACGCATCAATTCTTGTCAGCATTTGTCACTTACTCATCCTGATCTTTTCTGCAAATTTAGAGACTGACTGGCAAGCGCATCATTCAGCTTTCACAAATTCCGTTTGATTGAGCTTTTATTCAAAACTGATCAATGCAAATTCATAACAAGTAAACATGAGAGCTCCAACATGTTCTGCTGTAACCAGTTTAGTTTTGGTTAATTTAGTATTTGCACACATTTTAAACAATCAAATATGAATCCATTTTGAATGAAGCAAGTGTTTTGCTATGTACATTTTAATGTCAATAATATGAGGAATGTTCTTGCTGTGCTAGCTGACCACTAATTCGCTTTTTAAGTGTTACGTCCTGTGAAGCGGCTTCCGGGTCCAAGTGCTCTATCAAACTGTATGGGGAGATTCAATGTTATCTCAATAAATGTTTACATACGGTGTAATACTTTCGAAAATCCCAATCGCAATGTATATATCCATGCCTAAGATCCGATGATCAGAAAGTGATACATTTTTATGGATTGTTAAAATATTGGTATTTATGATGCAGCAAGCCCAGAGACTGTTGTGTACACTATGATTTTATCTAAAATTCACTTTAATGTGCGATAGGGCTAAAAAGTGGCCATAAACCAATATTTTTTTTTCAATTTAAATGAGTAGCAGCTTGGAGCCGGAAACACTATTCCATACGTCACCAATACGTCACGACTTAACAAGCGGATATGAAACTGTAGAGAGAGAGAGAGAGAGAGAGAGAGAGAGATACTACTATGTATTTGCATTGATCAGTAGTGAGTAAAAGTTGATCAAATCTGAGTTAATGAAAGTGTAATTTATGAAATGTCAATCTCCATATTTGTGGAAAATATCAGGATGAGCAAGTGATTTTGAATCTTGACTTAAAATTACACCTATTACCTGACTGATTACATTAATTATCAAGGATAAATGATCTAATGTTAACCTTACTGTGTAGCTTAAATGCATATCTAACATTAACCAAGGTTAATAAATACTGATTTTTACTTGAGCTTTACTTGATATGCTAATGAGACCTAATGATTTGAATGTTTCACTTGAATGTCTCATCTTTATTCTGTTACTTTTGTTTATATATATATATATATATATATATATATATATATATATATATATATATATATATATATATATATATATATATATATATATAATTACTATTATTATTTTTACATCAAAATAAATATTTGTTAGTAATCAAAAGGGTATTAATATATTTTAATTTAATTAATAATTTTTTTATTGAAATGTTCAGATATGTTAAGGCTGGTTATTTGTGGCTTAAGGTTATTAGTTAATTTAGCAACAGTTATTTGATTATCATTTTTTTGTAAGTCAAATGAATACCTTTTGCACATTGAACATGGTAAGGAGTTCTCATTAGCATTTAAATAACTGTAAGAAGAAAATGGCAGATGCATTATTCTGCCTAACACCTTTTGTAAGTCATGTGGATACGGAACAAAATAAAAGTGATAAGAGAGATTATTTTTTAGATGAGCTCTTTTATTCATGACACTATCTTTGTTAAAATTTCTTATAGTGTCACAATCAAATCAGTCCTGAGCTAGATAAAGCTCAAACTATCATTACCTTTACTTATAAGTGGAAAAATGCTAAACTAAAAAGCAAATGTTCATTTTTTTTTCATGGAAAATTAAAACTAAAGAAGCAGCTGTGGTTTGTAGCTTTTGCAAAGCTGTTGTTAATGTGTTAATGATATGATCAGAAATGTTGATTGGCTGACATCTTGGGTACATCTAAAACATCATACAAAATCTTGGTCTCAACTCATCAACCACCTGGTAAAACCCAATTTATTTCTGTGTTTTGGGGTTTACCTGAACTGATTAATTATATTTCTTGAAAAGCTTTGTTGTCTTGATAAACATCTGGATGGAGTGTAATAATGCAGCCATGTTTATTATTGTTCAGCTCATTTTTGCTAGCGTAATGGTCATTTCAATGTTAATCCATGTAAAGAATTTTGCATGAGGACAAAAGATTGAAATATTTTATGGTAAATTTAAGCTATTTTGCTACTGCAGATTTGACACATTAACTAACAAAATGCAGCTTTGTGGCTTTATAGCGACTTTTATATGAGCTGGGCCACTATATTGAAAATTGCCACACAAACCTGTTTTGCTATCAAAATTTTGTTATTTTGACCACATGAACATTGGAATTGTCCTTTTTCCTGTATTTTTGCAGGACATAATTTTTACCATCGCAAAATGATTAGATGTTTGCTATCGTTGCTAACTGTTGTGGTCTCACTAGTAAGCGTTTGGTGGAAAAGGGGTGGATTATTGTCCAGCCCATTCATTGCTTTACATAGCAGATCTGAAAGTTGTATGGCTGTAGCTTTCTGAAGCTATCTGGTTTTGCTGGATAAGAAAACATTTTAAACTGGATGACTAGTTTTTCTTTGTCACCCGTCTTTATGGACAAGGTGTTTTTTTAAATTAGCGAAATGAGTTGCACTATTTTTATATCCTTTTTTTATATACAGTTGAAGTCAGAATTAGTAGTCCTCCTAAATTATTAGCTCCCTCTCAAATTCTTTTTCCCAATATCTTTTTTCAACACATTTCTAAACATAATAGTTTTATAACTATTTTTTTTATCTTTGCAATGATGACAGTACATAATGTTTAACTAGATATTTTCTAGATGATAGTATTCAGCTTAAAGTGGCATTTAAAGGCTTAATTAGGGTAACTAGGCAAGTCATATTATTAATCATTAATATTAATCATTCTTACTTTTCATTCAATGCGAACTGTCGTAGTTTTTTTAAAGACGCAAACCCCTCACTGCAGCATGGTGATTTTATGATCGTTTTTTTAAGCTCAAAAGTGGTTGATCTGTTCGGTAAAATATTTGCTAGCATGTCACTGCATCACAAACAACTAAAAATATTACAAAAAGCTTTAACTAAAGCAATCTCCACTGTGTTGAGCACATCTTTTCCTGTTAAACTGAACAGTCGCATCATTGATGATGGAAGCATGCTCAGGTTCAGAAGGTAAAATGCAGTGAGTGCAAGCCATCGGGGGAGAGGGGAGGGGGGACAAGTGCGCTTTTATTCTGGCCGAAATAAAACAAATACACTTTCTCCAGAAAAAAGTAATTATATCTTAGTATGGGAAAAACTAAAAAAATCCTTCTTCTCTTAAACGACATTTGGGAAATATTTGAAAAAGAACAAAATTCACTGGAGGGCTAATCATTTTATTTCAACTGTATATAATTTTCACATTTTCTGCACTCTAGCAAAATATTGTGTGTGGCTACGTGTCATCGCTGCTGTCAAATCGACTTCAACTACACAAAATCTAGTTTGCTTTGTCAACTCACCTGCTGGTTTTGCTGTTAGCCGGAGTCTCTTAATCCAAATAACAATGCTCTCATTACCGAGAGAATGACTGCAGTGCTGTCACACTAAGCAATGCATTCCAAACAGTGTAAGGAATGGGCTGGTAGCTGCAGCATTCGCTTAAGCCTGATTAATGGAGCTGCCTCAACTGAGCTCAAGTCATTAAAGTACCATTGGATTTAATAAGTCTCTCTCTCTCTTTCTCTCTCTCTCTCACACACACACAGCTATCACTTGAACCTGTTCTGTTCCCTTTATCATTTCTCTGGCACACTCTAAGCCACTGGCTCTCACCTGGGAGTCTTAGATTGAGCTACAGAGATGTCTACAGGAGATATACTGTGTTGTCAGTGTTGTTGATTCTTGATGTATACAATTCTTGGTCCAAAAACTACACACTGGCTGAGCCCCACAAGTAAAACCCATCATTTTGTTTTTATGTAGGATCGTTGCAACATAAAAAAAGAAGTAATATTCTTTATGTGAATGCGAAATTCTTGAGGAATTTGAAATGTAATCATTGTTTTTGTATTGTCAGGGTCTGGAGGTGATTGAGTCCACCAACCTGAAATACTTCACCAAGGAGATGACCGCTGAGTTCTACGCTCTCAAGGGCATGTTCCTAGCACAGATCAATAAGTAAGAGTTGATCCCTGGCTTTGTTCATCTTCTCTCCTTCTCTGCCTGTCACTTTGATTCTTCTCTTTATCATCCTCATTCGCTGTTTCTTTGTCTTTAATTGACACGGCTCTCGTTATCTTTTGTTTTGCGCACACATCTGATTCTTGCTGACAATAAAGAATCGGGAACGGCGGGATCATTAAGAGCTCAGTTTTTAAAATGAACAATTTTGACAAAGAGTCATTATGGAGAAGAAGGATAAACATCTGTGTGTGCGCCTATGTGTTTGTGCAGCTAATCTGAAACTTTAGGCCAATAATGAGGTCAGAACAGTCGTTAACAGTCAATATGAGAGTATGATGAGTAATTAACCTTTTATAGCATGTCTGCAGTGGAGGATAATGACACTGAACTCATGATGAGTAATTATCTTCTGTCATACTGATATTGACTGGCATTTTCACAATTCGCTCGGCTTTTACTGATGAAAAACTCATATAAGGATTGGTTAACGTCTTAGAGTGCTTCAGATGTGTTTGTACTGCAGGCAAGCCTTGTATTTTTACTCCTTGTGATATATTAACAAACATGTAGGGATGGGTATAGTTTGGGGTTATTTCGATACCGGTGCTAAATCGATACTTTTAAAACGGTACCAATGCCTGAACCGATACTATTGAGCCACAAAATTCTTTGACAAAAAAAAGTAATCATTTTAATTGAACATTGTAATTAAAGTTTAAAGTATACATCAATTCATATTTTATATATTGAATTGCTTTAATATTTTTATTTTGGGGGGAAACATTGGCGCAGTAGGTAGTGCTGTCGCCTCACAGCAAGAAGGTCGCTGGGTCGCTGGTTCGAACCTCGGCTCAGTTGCTGTTTCTGTGTGGAGTTTGCATGTTCTCCCTGCCTTCGCGTGGGTTTCCTCCGGGTGCTCCGGTTTCCCCCACAGTCCCAAGACATGCGGTACAGTTGAATTGGGTAGGCTAAATTGTCCGTAGTGTATAAGTGTGGGTGTGTGCGTGTGGATGATTCCCAGAGATGGGTTGCGGCTGGAAGGGCATCCGCTGCGTAAAAACTTGCTGGATAAGTTGGCGGTTCATTCCGCTGTGGCGACCCCGGATTAATAAAGGAACTAAGCCGACAAGAAAATGAATGAATGAATATTTATTTTGATCACTGGTTTGTTAACATGAATGCAAGATTTACATTATGCAGTTAACATTACATTAGCTTATTACTGACCTGTGGAAAGGCTGTCATCAAAATCAGGGAACCCTTTTTTTCTAGGGTTGGGGCAGTAATATGTAATATTATTAATGTGTTTTCATGAGCTGCTTTTTAATGTTTCTTTCATGACTTCCTTTTACATGTTACAGCAAACAGATCGATTAACGTCATTGCGCTCTCCAACTTTTCCTCGACAGAGTGTTATATCATTTATTATATTACCCAATAAATTGTATTTTTTAACATTTACCCCCACCCCTACCATAAACCCAACCATCACAGTACTGTAAAAATATCAATTATTGTAATACAGTATCGCAAAAATGATGCTATATTGAAGTGCAAATCCACAGCTGTACCACAATGGCACTGGGTTTCGGTTACCAGCTCGACTTACTGTAAAAGGATCCAAAGATCAAGTTATTGTCAGTATTAATGAACATTATTACATTTTATTAAATTTCTTTAAAATTTTCCTGACTTTGTTTTGGAGGCCTCGAACAGTAGGTTTACATCCACCCAAGGCCAAAAAAACTCTTATTTCAGTATGTATTTATATATTATTATTATTATTTTTTATTTTTTTTTTTTATGTTTCAGTATCACCTAAATTCAACTATACTGTAAAAAGTGCCTCAAACTGTTTGTTCTCTTTAAAAAGTTCTTGCTAGCAGGGATACAGTTGCATCCTGAAGTTAACAAGAATTATTTATATTATTTATTAAATTACACAATAATTGTATATTATGAACGTCTACCTGAAAGTAATATAAAATAGTAATGTTGAACAGTGTCACAAAAATTATGCTATATTGATGTGTGTATCTACAGCTGTATCACTTCTAGAGCTCTTTAAAGCTGTCCTTTCCAAGAGGCTTCTCTGCCCTGATGTGTTTTCAATGGTTCACACAACAGTACAGTGTTTCTGCTTTCACACTAGCACTTTCACTCTGCACCTGGGTTCGTTTCACGTCAAAGCTCGGTACGTTTGTGTGAACGATATCTTCTGAACTCGGGTGCGCACCTGTGAACTGTACATGAGTCAGAAGAGGTGGTCTGGGGTACGGTTTGTGCGAACTCTGGTCCAGTTCACTTCTAGTATGAAGGCATTCGTACCAAATAACAGAAGTAAGCTGAGAAAAAAAACAACCTAAAAGGTGGCAAGGGGGGGACAATCAATCTTGGGTACAGTCCAAGCAATTGAACCAAATGTGAAAGAACCCTATGTCAATGATGAAAGGCCCATTGCCTTGTCTTCATTATAAAAAGCTTCTTTAACCTCAGCGACTGTACATGGTAAATGCTTAGGTTATTAATGTAGACAAAGCAAACCAAATTATCCGGTAGAGACCATTGGCTGGTATTATGCTAATATAATGCGTGATTTATTGCTGATGTTTATGTGTATTTTGTGAGTAAAGCTGGTTGTAGTATATCTCTAGCATGTGTGTTCAGAAGGACTGATGTTTACTACACAGAGTTGTTGTACACTGATAAGCTACACAAAATTGTGTAGAAAATGTTCGTATTTAATTTGGCAACAATGAAATCAAGATAATCATTCTGTGATAATGTTTGTGTAGCTTCTCAGTGAACTAGAGTGCTGTTTAGTAAAGGCTGCTCAATCCATAAGCATGTGGAAATACCACATGCAATGTTTTTACTCCAAACTTGCTTGATCTTTTCAGTCGAGTGTTTTCCATCCAATGAGTCAAAGATAATAACGTCGTCAGTTCCTTATAAAATGGCACCAAATATCAAAAATGACTTTTGGAGGCATGAGACACTTTTGAGATGTAATAATACTTAAAACCAAATACTTAATGACCAAAACAGCATTTCAGATGTTATACAATATGGTCGGCCTGCTGGTTTATTCATTAAACCTCTCCATTGCAACCCCGTTCCGAAAGATATCAAAAAAATGTTTTTCATGTTTATATAACCCTATAACCTAACCCTAACCCTAAAACAACATCACATGAATTATTCTGTAAATGTATTTCCATTGTAGTTTATGCACATTTTTAATAAAAAGTTTTTTTTTACGTTTTTAAAAATAGTTTTTCATACTTAGTTGCGCACAAAAGTTTACTTTTTTTGCACTTCTCCATTTTCATTAAGCATTATTTAATGCAACAGTTCAAAATATGCATAAAAATAGGTGGATGGAAACCGTGCATTCCTAACAAGATATGCATAATATATGCATATTACGTACAGTAGAACAGTATTGTTAGTAAAACTGTAATACATGTTTTGTCATTTCAGAATCAGGTCTGTTTTTTGGCAGGCTGTATTTGTTGAGCACTTGCAGACATTTTTCATTCTCAAACAGCTACGTTAGATAAGATGTATTCAAAATATCACAATGGGGCACTTAAAAAAATGAATATATCCAGACCAAAACAGAGCATCGTGTGATTATCTGTTAAACAGGTATTGATAATGAATCTTTTTTTTTTGCACCATCATTGCTCTGTATAGACCCTGCTCCTTTCCTTATCATGGGTGAATTGATGTCAAGCCCAGAGCCCTGCACAGGGTTGGAATAGCTTATTAAATACACATTGTGAATAATTAACTCAATAGCAATTTGTGAAATCTCTGTGATCAGCAGAAGTTTCCCCCAGCCTCAGCAGGGCCTAATGTAATCATTACATTTTCACTCTCTATGAATATTAACGTAGGGACTTGGTAAAGCAGCAGAGCTGTCAGAGGAAGATGTTTGACACTTGACTGGGCGTGGGGACTTATGTGCTCTCCAGGCCCGGTTCTCAGCAAAGGCCACAAGCAGAAACATATAATACATGTCCAGGACTGACGAGACGCTTCAGTGGATTTGGCATCCCCAGAGTCCCATTCCAATCAAGTGTAATTCTGTTGCTTGCCACATACTCATTAAAAATTCCCATTATATGTGATTGGTTTAGTAGGTGTGTCATGGGGTGACATTTAGAGATGGTGATGGTAAGGACAGAGGCTTCAAGCTCAGATTATAAGTCCCATCCTGTGCTTTCACTCCCCTATAAAGCCCTTTACAAGCCTTTCTTAACTTCTGTTCTTAAACTGCTTCTATAAAGGGTCGTAGAATAGAATAAATTCTCAAAGCCCTAAAATGGCTGATGAAACCAAATATTGGATCCAGTCAGCTAATTTTGGTTAGTTGCTGGTCAACTGGCCAAAAGGCTCGAACCAGCGACCTTCTTGCTGTGAGGCGACAGCACTACCTACTGCGCCAATGCGTCGCCTTAGATGATTTCAAGCTAAACAGTTCATTGATCGTATACTACGTGCTTAAAGCATTCGCTTAATGCCATCTCATTTTTGGCGGACGTAGCATTTAGTCGCTTTTGCATCTGAACTCTTTAGATATTCAGTTATGACCAGTACTGACAAAAAATATTTGCTCACTCTGTTTATTCTTCCAGTTTACTTATATTCTTTACTTTCTTAAAATTTGAAAAGACTCTGATGGTCAGAACTGACAAATTTCTCTGCTTGTTTGATTTGAGCTGTGTTTTCTTTTCCTCCAGGTCAGAGGAGGCAAACAAGGCCTTCTCTGCTGCAGTCCAGATGCATGATGTTCTGGTTAAAGCCTGGGCTATGTGGGGCGACTACCTGGAGAACATCTTTGTCAAAGATCGCCAGCCTCACCTTGGTGTCTCCTCCATCACCTGTTACCTACACGCATGCCGCCATCAGAATGAGAGCAAGTCTCGCAAATACCTGGCCAAGGTAAGAACTCCACTCTCTTGCTGACCTCATCCAGGTTTATCTACAACTTGGAATTTTCCTTTCTTCTTGTCCACCAAATGACATTTAGTCTTCTACTCAAGGTAAAAAGTCATCTATATATGATAGAGAGTAAGTTTGATTTAAATCATAGGTCTCAATCTGAATTCCTGGAGGGCCGCAACTCTGCACAGTTTTGCTCCAACCCTAATCCAACACAGCTGATCCAACTAATCAAGGTGTTCAAGACTACTACAGACTATTGAACAGGTTTCAGTTGGAGGTGGTTGGAGAAAAACTGTGCAGAGCTGCAGCCCTCCAGGAATTTGTTCAAGACTATTGCTTTAAACAGAAATGTATGATTGTTCTTTGATATATTGCAATAGGGTATATGCTGAGCTAGTGTTGTTCCCGTGCTGATAAACTTCCAGTTACCTGTTATTGTTAGTTTTTCCATTTTATACGATTCCTTTTACAGCATCGATGTTGTAATGTAATTAAACTACAATCAGTTAAATAGGCATTCGTTTATTTGCTCAAGCGTCAAACAAGACAAAAACCCATTTACTCGGACACGTCTGTCAGAATTGGCAGACTAGTGCAGAAGCTTCATTGAATATACTGGGGTAAAATAAATGTTTATATTTTAAAGACATGGTGAGGGAAAATGTAATTTAGTGCAGTGCTTCTTTTACAATCTGAGACCCATTTTATATCGGATATAACTCAGCCAGTGGAGATTCACTGTGGACCTTAAACGCTCTGTTTTTGCAATTGCAAACAGTTCACCGGAAGCGCTTAACCCCGATTACGGGTAAATTACAAGTCCTATTACCATACTTCAACATATACCAATGAGAAAAGACATCTGCTTAAACCTCCACAGAATCATTAAATTTCTCTAAGTCTTGATTTAGTTTTAGTTTAGTTTTTTTTTTCTAGTCTTATACTATTTGCTATTGTTGTGAATTTGAAGAAGCGACAAAACTAGGAAGATCCTTTGAATGAGTTCCCATTAAGGGATTTAAAACACCTGACAAATCTCCATGGTTTTGACGCTTCTTCAAATTCACAACACCAGTTTATCAACAAAGGGTTTTTTTTGGCCTAAGAGTATTACCTGAAGACAAAGGCAGAGGCATTAAAAACCCTGCCTGTAGCATTTGCATCACTTTGGTTCAGCTAATAGTCAAGAAGACTAAGGTTTAATGTCCTCGTGGCTGGGCTGTTACAGTTTTGAATGAAGTCATTTAGGCCGTACTCACACTAGGTACAGTTGCCTCAAACCGGGCCAAAGCACACTTGTCCCCCCTCCCGTCTCCCCCGACGGCCCGCACTCACACAACAAACGGGCTTCGGCACGCTTACGTCATCGCTGCTGCGCTGTTCAGTGAGAAGCACTCTCTCACTCAGCAACACAGTGGAAATATCTCTAGTTATATCGTTTCAGTCGTTTGGTATGCCGTCAAATATTTCGCCAAACAGTCCTTAGGGATGCGGGGACACGCAGTCAGATATTTCGCCGAACAGATCTGCCACTTTTGGCGCTCATAAACAGTCATAAAGCTCTCGTGCTGCAGGAATAAGGAGGTCTGCTGAAGGCGCGCAGCTGTCTTGCTGTGAGGAGTTTGCGTATTTAATAAACTACGGCAGTTTGCGTTCATTGAACAGTAAGAATGATTTATAAATCCATATAAAACAGTGCCTTAAAAGTCACGTCTCGCTTTCAGTTTCGCGCTTTGGCACGTTTTGCACTCACACACAAGCGTACCGCTCCAAAGCCCAAGTGAACCGGGCTCAGGCACACCTCTTCCAACCGGGCCAGGTCCGGCCAAGTGAACCGTGCTTGAGCCCGATTAAGCGCACTCGCACTTCTCAAACGATCCGGGAAACGGGCCTGGGCACGGTACGGATGGCATAGTGTGAGTAGGCCCATAGTTAAAAACAAAAGAGTATATCTTTTAAGTTATATGTAGATTCCTGTTCATTTGGAACTAGATTATATAAATTTAAAAAATAAAGTCTAGGGTTATTTATATTTAGTGGTATTTTTGGTGAATGTAGCATTTTATTTCAAACGTTAATATCAATTATATTCTCAGATTTAGAATCAATAGGTTCTTTGCATGTTGTTAGCAGCAGCATTGGAATTGATGTCACAGAGAAGCTAACACAAACAGCCACATGATAACAGATCCTCGCCATTGACGTTTTTCACAGTTTGTAAATGCGGCACCATGCTTGCAATTTGCTGTCATGACTGCCCGAGTTGATTCAAGCCGATCCATACTTGTGGAAATCCACAGTGAGAATGCTGAGGTTAAAGCAGCTCCTCATCTGGGAAGGTAACTTACAGAGTAGGAAAACGTTTCCTGACTCTCTTGTAACTGGCTCAATAATATTTAGATCTGGTGACTGTGCTGGCCATGGAAGATGTTTAATTTCACTTTCATGTTCATCAAACCACTTTGTCACCAAGCTTGCTGTGTGTATTCAGTGCTTCCCACAGGTTTGAAATATACTTGCGGATGTAGCCGGATTGAAACACACCTTTTACCCACAACACATGGTGACAAAGAAAGTGATTTTTAACAGTATTTAAATTAATTAAATAAACATTGTTAGTGGTTTGAAATTTTTTAAGACTAAAATAAAATGTAAAAACATAAAAAAAGAAAACCACTATTAGTTCTATTCATGTGCACAATCTGCTGCTGACATTTTGTACAGTATTGCCAAAGCATGTTAAATATGTACCAATTATGTAAAATATTGACATCATCAAATTAAAAAAAGAAATACAGCAAATGAGAAATAAATGACATAAATGAATAAAAACATCTATGGAATAAAAATCTAAAAAAAGTATGATAATTGCAAGAATAAATAGTGTGCATTATTTGAATAAGGCAAATGAGTTAATTAACCATTTTTAACAGTGTACATATACTTTGCTGCCAGTTTAGATGTCATTTTGTCATCTCTGAGTAAATAGAAAAGTTGTTTAAATCAATGAATTAATTATATAATGTTTCTCTCAGTTTTTCATTTGAGGAGATTTAGAAATCCTGGGCAGATGCATTTTTAAGTTCCAAAAAGGCACATCTCTGTGGGTCTCTGCAGGTCTCTGCAGAGCACGTGAGATTGACAGTTCTTGTGCACACATGGCAATAAGTGGGAAACGTGTTGGGTGAGAGGAGATCTTCCACTAGTTAATCGATCGGATGTTTGGCTATTGGGCAGATGCAAAAAAAGTGTGAAAGGAGGATAATAATAAAAAATAAACGTCACCAAATATACTTAGGCAGCCGTTATTCTACCTGGGCGGCCTGCCCAAGTTAAGTCTATGTGTGGTGAGCACTAGTTTTAGTGCATTATCATCCTCATACATGGAACCACCTTCAGGATACAATGTTTAAACCATGGGGTGCACATGGTACTCCAGACTAATTTGGTGGTCATTGACAGTGACGGCCTATGGAATGCCATGATTTTGCAGCTCAAACCATTACTGATCCACCCCTATGCTTCACTCTGGTCATGCAAGTCTGGGTTTTACGCTTCTTTGGGGCTTCGCCACACTATAACTCTCTCAGATTTGGGAAAGACGGTGAACGTGGACTTATCATAGAAGAATACAGGTTTCACATTGTCCAAAGCCAAAGAATTTTGGTGTTGGCAACATTTAAATCCACTTTACGCATTGGCACATGTGAGCAAATGTTTGGTCATAGCAGCCTAGCCATGTATATTGACCATCTATTGTAGAGCTCCCGACGAACAAATTTGGTGGAAACAGGAGATTTGAGGTGCACATTTATTTTTATTTATTTTTTATAATTTTTTATTTTGGAAACATGAATAATCATATAATTTTCTTTGTATTTGCTATAACAGTTTTTCGAAAGACAATCGGAAGCAGCAAAAATTTGTATCTGCAGGTCAAATTCAGAATTTTAATTCAGCCAAGAAAATTGCAATCAGTACATCTCTATATTAAACATGTTTAGTTATAATTTTTGATAATGTTGGTAACCTCTAACCCAAACTCGAGACAGCAGTACAAAGCAATAAAACATCTAATGAGCATTTGCATAATTCCTGATCAGAGGAGAGAAGAGCAAGACCTACTGATCAATGGCTTACAGTATCATACAGTGTAATCTAGACAACAACATGTGCTTAGTGAATTACTTGTCAAAAACAGGCAAACATGGTTGGCAGAGATGCACAGAGCATGTCATAATGGGATACCATCTTATTTTTGACAAGCCTGTAATTAGTTTTACCATTAAACCCATTTACCATAATGCACAGGCAAACTTGCCGCTCATTTGTGGTCCAGTAAACCCATTCTGCTTTGATGGCTTTGTTTAATGGGGAGGCATATCCATCACCACACGCCATTTCTGAATTAATGCAGCTGCAACGACGAGATGCCCCCCATTCAGACCGATGAACCTCCAATGATGGATGTAATTATATTATTAGACCTGATGATAGGCTTTGTATGGCTACTATATACATGGCGGTCTGCTCTCTGTCGAGTACTGTACACTAGATCAAACAGCTCCATTTAGCTCTTCCTCCGCCTCCCCCCCCCTCGTCTTGGTTTTGAACACTTTAGCTCGTGTCTGGAGTGCTGCTGGCCACTGAAGCTTTCGAAACGGTGGCGTAGTTTACACGTGATTAATGAGAGTAACTGCTTGCTGATTATCAGTAATTATCCGTAAGCCGTGTGGTCTGGCCCGTCCAACATTTAATGTCTCCATCAGGCCTCCAGCGCCTGTACCAGAGCCACACCAACAATAGCGGGGACAGGCAGCAGCTGATGGTGGGAAAAAGGCGGTTGGGATGATTTTACAAGCCATTAAATCCTTGAGTAGCTATTTCATGGAGCTGATGGCCTCATCTTCAATCGCTGACACAGATTTACTTTAAAATGAAAGTGTTACCTATGCAGTCACATGGCTTGATAAAGGTTTCAGCTAAACCCACTGTTTTTGAATGTTTGAGTTAAGTTTGACTTGAAGGACACTTGACTCTTCAAATTTTCTTCACTGGTGTGTGTTTATATGAGAAGTACTGTGCGCAGATATACAAGGAGAAAACGATTTTGCATTTAAGTGAGCATGTAAGAAAGCTTTTTAAATAAATGATTGCTGCTTTGAATGCTGGACGACATGGATGATGTATGCAATTTTTATATGTATAGATACTGTTTAGCCTTGTTAGTCAATTTTAAAACAAAAGTACACTGAAGATAAAAATATAGAAGATTTGAAAATCTGAAAAATTAGTATATATTTGAACATACAAAATTAAATCAAAACATATGTCATTATCATATGTGTTTCTTTGTTAAATAAATCAAATAAGAACTATTAACTTCAGTCGTTAGTGTTGTTGCAATTTGAGGGGAGCTGTAATTTTTTATTTTAATCATGAATATTTTTTACTTTTTTAATCATATAAAAATTATTTAATGTAAATAAATTAATTGTTTTTTGTTATGAAAAATGGATTAAACTTATAATTTTGTGTGTATATGCTGTAAAATACAGTTGTTAGAAGTGAATTTGGAATCAGCCATGAAAATTGCAATTGGTGCCTCTCTATATTAATCTATCTATGTTTTGTTATAGTTTCAATGATGTTGATATTGTCTAACCCAAAACTGAAATAAATTATTGCATCCATGGATGATGTATAGAATATTTATATGTAAGGATTTTTTTTAACCTTGTTAGTCAATTTAAGCCCTTAAGTGTCACCGTCTCACCACCAAGACAATTAAATTTACATCATTTGCTAATAATGACAATCTATATAGTTGGAAAAGTCTAATACTAAGAAAGGTCAAAGAAATATATAGTTTCCATACCTGGTGAGTGATTTTTGATAGATATTACTGAGCAAAACCTATTTATTAATTTGCATCAAGTTTCTTAAATCATTACTTTGCTACAGCAATCCACATGTACAATTTTTTGATGTTTTCTAGAGGCTAAATTTACAAATATTGTCAACAGTATGAAAACACATACTTACAAAAAGAATAATACAGTTTATATTCCTTCAATACAAAATCTCTTTGAGCTCATTTTTTGAGATTTGGAATATAGTTGTTTTCCCAGATATTTAGCTTTAATTTTCTGTTCATTTTAGGTTGAAATATTTTTCTGAAATATTTTGTGCATTATAGTAGCATATACATTTAATGTTTCCTTATTTTCATAAATATAAACAGACATATCCCTTTTTTATCTAACTTTTTTTGCTGTAATCAGATTTAAAAAAAAAAAAAATTAGACCAATCTTAAATCTGTGCACCAAAGCATTGAAGATTGGCTATTATTTAGGTTAAACATCATTTTCAAGTCTAAAAAAAGGGAAAACAGTTTGAGGGGTTAAAAAAGTACATAGAAGGTCCATGGAGGGCAAAAGTATATATATATATATATATATATATATATATATATATATATATATATATATATATATTGTTTTTAATGGATTTCATAGGACTTTTTTGTCCTTTAAGTCATGTATGTGAATGTTTTTGTACCCTATGTTAACTATATTAAAATTGACCAATACCAAAATGTAAAAAGACAAAAGACTTCCCAAGGACTCAGAAGAGTTCATTAAAATAATAAAATATTAATGTGACAATAAACAGATTTTTACCTAGTGTCTGTAGCATTTTGATATTTTAAAGATTTCTAAACGTATATTTGAAAATGATTGTCTGTCATCCTCAGGTGCTGTGGCTGTTGAGTTTTGATGATAAGAACACCTTGGCTGATGCTGTGGACAAGTACTGCATTGGAGTGCCTCCTATCCAGTGGCTGGCCTGGATCCCACAGCTCCTCACATGTCTGGTGGGCTCAGAAGGAAAGCCCCTCCTCAACCTCATCAGTCAGGTAGGATTCTTCACTACATTCCCTTTTTCTTGCAGCACATTCATTCTTTATAGATCTGTCTAATCAAGATGAGTTTTTTTTTTGCCGATGTCTTCAATAAAAGACAGCCTGTTGTCAATCGCCCTTTTGTCATATTCATAGTTCAACCAGCTCCCTTTTGAATCATTCATGCAAAGCATTGTTACTGGGTTTATATCAAACACTCTCCAACTGAGGGAACAGAACTGCCAATTAAACACCAGGCTAATTTGCCCTCCTTGATGGAGTATTATTTCCAAGCTATTTAAAAAGCTCCTGAACTTCAAAGAGAAAACAGCAGCTCCAGGGGCCTAAACAGAGAGGGAGAAAAAAAAGGAGATCTGTGTACTTAACCCATGTGTTAAAAAAAATCCCATGCTCATACCAATCTGGTTTTGCATTCAGCTCGACCACCTCATTCCTCACGTATACACATGCCAGACCAGCGACTTCTAATCTCTTCGTTTCAGCGATGACGCACCCGTGCAATGGAAATGCTTCACTTTGAGATTAAGTACACTTGAGTCCCTGATAAGCACCCAATGAAATGGATATGTTTGCACGCCATAATCTCAATTAATGGACTTGTCAAGGCTGCTTTAGGGATGACAAGTCTCCTTGTTGAAGGATCTCTGGGTCTGATCGAAGGCGCCGATGACGAGCAAAGGGTAGACGTTTTGTAAAACCTCTTTTGATTTTCAAGTTTTGGAATCTCAGGCGAACGAAGCACCTTTATCTCATGTTGTGAATTATTTAGCTGTGCTCCAGTTGGCGGGATGTTTTAAAAAACGTTTGGTGAAATATTGATGAAGGTGAGCTGCGGGGTGCCTCGAGATGAAACCAAAGCGAGGGAAAACTTAACACCTTTATGCACACAGACAAGCCGTCACATGCCTGCGCACACACCCCAAAATATGATGAGGCTTTTTCAATTTTAGGCGCGATCTCTTCCCCTCGTTCATTTTTAATGCGATACTTAACAAGCTCTTAACAGAAGGCTGTTTTGATGTAAAAGCCCATCTGGACTCCGAGGTGTCTCTTTACACCTAAAGGCCAGGCTGCTTTCTGACGAAGATCGTGTTTCCAGTCTAATGGGCTGCTGGAGTTGAGAGACCTGAGAGGGGCTGCGGGCGCTTCTAGAAACAGCGCTGTGTCTGCCGCCTCCATATTTGTCTTCACCGCCCCCTTCACACTCATGCGGACAACATTCACACCCCTAACGAGTATCACAGTGGCAGAGGAGGGAGAGAAGAGGAGCAAGTTGATAAGCATGTTATTAGGGAACTATTACTTAACAATAAACTGATTCAAAGATTGGGTTATGAGCAGGGCCTGACAGAATATGCTAATATTTTTGGCTATTTCTGCACAGAATTTTGTTTAAAAATCTATATGGAATTTATTTGGAATGATTCTTAGAGTACACAAACTAAAAACTTGCTCTGACATGTTTTTAAGTTTTGCATTGCAAATCTAATAAGATCTATTTGTTTGGTAACAGGATATCTTCGAGGTCTTAAAGCCTCAAACCTCAAAAGCAAAATTTTAGGCCTGAAAAAGTCTTAAATTTGCTAAAATATTGTGTTGTAATCTTTAATCTTTTTTTAACAGGTCTTAATTTTCCTTTGTTCATGTATAGCTACTCAATCTGGCCATTAACACCCATACAATCACCAACAATCCCATTTTCAATAAAACGTGTCACTTTTTATTTACAACAGCGTTTTTCCTTACAGTAACGTTTGTTTCAAAGTTCTCCAATTATTTACTGCTGAGGATACCTGACCTATATATTTGTATTATTAAATTATAATTATTATCATTGTAAACTGAAGTAATTGACAGCTTTCTTTTGTTCTATTTTTGGAAAGGGTTGTAGGGTTTGGGAATGAATGTATTTGAAACTTAATTAAAAAATGTAAACTAAATTATTATTCTTATTATTGTTTTAACTGCATTAAATTTTAATAGTTTTTTGATTGAGCAATTGAAAAATTTCTCTAACTTTGATATTTGAGAAAAAAAACTTCTTTGCATTTAGCCCTGCATAAATCTAAAATGTAATTCATAGTGTCTTAAAATGTCTTTAAAAGTCTTAAATTTAACTTAATTTAACAAAGCAAGTCTCTCATATAATACATCTAAAAGACAAACAATATAACTTGATTCATATGAGATTTGCATACCAGTCAATAATATTACTGAAACTAATATATAAAACCGAATACATATGTTTTTACACATTTATCAATAAACAGACTTGATGACGGGTTAAAAAATCTGTGGATTTCTGTGTGCACAGATTTTGTGTGGGTTTAGTTATGTGGCACATTGCTGTGTTTGATCGATTTAAAGAATTAAGACTGTAGGATGGCTTTTTAAAATAAAAGATGTGAAACGGGACTGCTAAGGTAAATGTACATGCAGGGAGAGTAGTGTAACTACAGGTGTTAATTGTGTATGTATTTGTAAATATTTTGTATAATACTTGTTGAAAGCAAAACTATTAGTCCTCCTCTGAAATTGTAATACTTTTTCAAATATTTACCAAGTGCTGTTTAGAGGCTGGTTTATACTAGTTTTCTTGAGACTGTGATGTCATCACTGTGTTTGTGGAGGTTCACTGTGGGTGCCCGCAACATGATTTCAGCTTGCAGAGCGCATAAAATTTTTTGAGACTCCAATGAACAGTTCACGGTGCCGCATTTTATTTGAGTTCATGCGTGATCATAGGGATAACCAGATGTACAATAAATCTTGGCTAGATATTGCAACAGTGGGAAAAGTTTTTGTATTTTTTTAAGTTGAGGGATAACATTGTTAAAACAAAAAAAGAAGCCAGGGCAAAAGTTAGACCCAGGTGGTTTTAATATACAGTTACAGAGCATGTTTCCCACCTTTCATAGGTTTTACCCTGATGTGTATGTTATACAATTTTGAATTTAAAACTATTTAATAGTTAAAACGCGAAAACGAATTAACAAATTATTTCTTTGATAACAGTTTATCGGTTTACAATATACTAATGCCCTGTTTTTCGGCTTTATTGGTGACAGTGATCAGCAATGTTGAACCATTATTGCCTTTTTAGCATATAAGTAGGACACAAAGCCAGAAAGTAATGTGTGAATTGTGGAGTGGGCTAAATACATAAAAAAAAACGGTTAGTATTTTTAGTAAGTGTGCTTTTCTTTTACTTTTAATCTTCCCATAATAAAAAAATTGCTAAGCAACCCATTTTCTGTTGTCGTGCATATTTTAATAAATTTTAATAGGTAGAACTGTCCGAGATAAGAAAAAAGCAAGTGATGCATCAAAGTTTGAAGTAAAAAAATCTTTATAGTCATTAAAATAATTTATGAAAATATTAAGAATAATTAGTTTAAAAATCTTGAATAATATTAATGATATGATGTAGTTCTGGAAATTACCTACTTCTATGTTTAACTGTCTGATTTTATGGTCGGTCTCTTTTGACCGCTTCCTGTTAATATCACATCGATGAACACATCAAGTATAAAAGCCTTGTGCGTTTCGTCAGGTCCGAATGTGGCACCAGGCAAAAGTATAGATCAGTCTTATCAGAGCAAGGACATTTTCACAGTATTTCTTTTAATATTTTTTGTTCTGAAGAAAGACCTCTTTCTTTTAGTTTGGCTGGAATAAAAGAAGTTCTTCTTTTCCGTTTGTTTTTTTTTTTAAATAATTTTTACAGTTAATATTATTAGCCCCCTTATAAATATAAATGTTTTGTTCGATTGGCTACAGGAAAAAAAAAAAACTTTTTTCCATTGACAAAAGTTAGTAGTAAGTAATACTCAAAATTACACCTCAAGATGAATACTAGCATCTTGTGAAGTATCTAGTAAAATGTTATGTACTGTCATCATGTCAAAGAAACAATAAATTAGTTATTAAAACTATTAGGTTTAAAAATGTGTTGAAAAAAATTATCTCTCTGTTAAATTCTTGAAGAAAAAAAAAATTTCACAGGAGCTCTAATGATTTTGCATTGAACTCTGTATGTCTCTGACTATCTGTCTGTATAATTAAATAAGATGCATTATAATAAGTGAAAAAAGTACACATATTGCACTTTGTGTGGTATATATTCATTTACTGTATATGTAGGCTCCTCACTTAATTCTAAATCAAGTTGCTGTTATCAAATTTTGTGTACAATGTAAAACATAAATAAAAAGTAAACAAAAAACAATAAATTTTTTAAATGAAAATAAAACACTTGGGGAAAAAAACAGTTTTTGCTGCCCTTGTACCAGTGATGTTGGTTATGATAAGTACGCTTTTGGGCTGTAGGATTAAACAGCCTGAACCTGCTCTGTGTGATGCTGTTCAAGGACACAGCAAATCTCCAAAAGAGAGAAAGTGAACATTCAGTCTTGACAAGCTTTTAGCGAGTGTCATAGTGAGCCATGGTTTTAATCTGCCCTTGATGTTTGTCCATCTCATTGCTTTCCCCCTACGGTTTCATTTTCAAAAGCCTGCGCTATCACAGAGAAGTTTCAAAACATGTCAGCACAACGTTTCTCTCTTTCGCTCTGACCCGAGCCCACAGGGACGATCTGAAATGTAATCTGCCACTGTTTCTTTTAGGTGGGACGTGTCTACCCTCAAGCGGTGTACTTTCCCATCCGAACCCTGTACCTGACGCTGAAAATCGAGCAGAGGGAGCGCTACAAGAGTGGTACGGCTACAGTCTTTTTCAGAACATTCTCAACTAAACAATAAAAAGTCCAACAAAAGCAGGGCTGTGCGATTTTACTGTCTGATAATGCAATTTTGACTCAATATTCTCAGTTCATTACAGTAAAAGGTTAACTGTCTATTTATAAGTATTCATTAAATGTCTGTGTAAATGTATTCTATAAACAGTGTGTAATTATATATTTTATATGCATTAAAGGTGCAGTAGGTCACTTTCATTTTTGTTGTGCTGGTTGAAAATCTCTTCACATTCCAATAGTAATGATTAAAGTAAATGCGTACACGCTTGCTGTGTTTACATGCACACGAGAGAGAAAGCAGTAAAAACAAATGCTCAATCACAACTTTTTAAAATTCGGAATATTGTTAAATATTTGAGTCATATCCACGCAGGAGGAAGGATGACACCATGGCTGAAGTATTTCTTTTAGAAAGTTAATGTTATGTTTTAAAACTCTTTTAGTCATGCAAAGCTTGTGTAGATTTTGTTGTTTTACAAATGGGTTATACGCACAGAAGTGTTGTCCAGCCATTGATATCTTCCGGCGACAGATTGATGCAACTATTTTCAGTTTCATAAGGGAACATTTTTCCACATCTATAATGTTGATTTTTGTTTAGTTTAACAACAAAACATAAGTAAATAGCGCTATTACACCTAAAGCCCGCTTTACTGAGGTAAAGTTGGTTTTATATTCCCATCACATTGGTTAATTTTTGAACAATGACAACCTTTGACACGCTCCATATATTGTTTAACATGCTGCTTGGTTTATTCGATATAAAATAGCCTATAAGTATGGCTTAATAGCATTTAAGCATGGCTTATTAATAAGTGGAATTCCTGCACCTGCCGGCCAACCACTAAACATACAGTAGTGGCTTTAGGACAAAGCACATGAGAGAGTGAGATCAGCGATCTATGTATACATGAAATATTGCACATTAGGACAAGTTTTGCTTTTCTAACTGCCGAATGACATGATCTAGTGCAGAGGTCACCAAACTTGTTCCTGGGGGGCCGGTGTCCTGCAGATTTTAGCTCCAACTCTAATCAAACACATCTGAACAAGCTAATCAAGGTCTTAATAGGTTTAATAGAAACATTCAGGCAGGTGTGCTGAGGCAAGTTGGAGCTAAACCCTGCAGGGACACTGGCCCTCCAGGATCGAGATTGGTGACCCCAGATCTAGTGGGTCTCAGTCATCTATAATGTGTGCGTTCATGATTTCAGGAGGCGTGGCTTTGGAGGGCAGGGAAGGGATTGTGTTTCATAAATTTTAGGCAGATTTTGAACCTTTGAAGCCCGTGCGCTTATTTTTACTTTATTTTTATTTTTTTAAAAGATATAAGCTCTATATATGTGATAATTGTTTTGAAAATAAGATTTCAAGTATTACCAAAACTGTCAGTAACCATTTTATAGATACAGATCAGTTAATTGTGCGAGACTTTGTCATTCTACATAAAAAAGGCACTTCTATGCCTAGTTTTACTTATTACTTTACAATGATATTTGTTTGCTATTTAATGGTGAGCGGTATGTGCGATTTGAGCTATTTCGATTGGGCAGGTCGCGAGTGTGCTCATTCAATTTTCTGATTTAAAGAGGACTATATTATACAGAGGTGCCCAAAGTTGGCCCATCGTAACCTTATTTTGCCCACTGTTCTATTTGAAAAGTGAGTAAGAAGGATGGAGAGGGATGAGACGAATACCTTTAAAACAGGTAATTTCTAATTTGTTGCAATCTTTTTTTGTTTGTTTATTGCTGAACTACAATAAAAGCAAACTGAAATAGTGTTTTAATTAAATATTGTAAATATATCAGATTTTAAAAATGTAATTAATGTCACTCGATGGAAAGAGAACTATGCAGAAGACAGCGGTGAGCGAATCAAGGCAAAATAGTGTAACTTTATTCAGTCATAATGAGATTGTTTTAGTTTTTACTGTAATATGTTCATTATGAAATGATGCTGTTAACATAAAGCAATGTATTCTAGTTTTTTTTAATAAATTATATTTAATAAATTGGGAAATGAACCATGGCTACTATAGTTACCTTCGGCCCACAACCCTTAATCAAGTTTGATTTTTGGCTGTTCATAAGATATAGTTTGGGCACCGCTGACATAGAGGATATGTTTATATAACTATTTGCAATTGACAACTGTTCAAGTCACAATAATGATTGCATTTCTCTTATTCGCACAGCCCTATAAAGAACTCAACTTCTTCCCTTGATGAACCTTTGTTTCTATCTTTTTCCTTAGACTCCGGTCAGCAACAGCCCAGTTCGGCAGCTGCCCAGACGCACTCCGCATCTGACCCGGGTCCCATTCGTGCCACGGCTCCCATGTGGCGCTGCAGTCGGATCATGCACATGCAGCGCGAGCTTCATCCCACCCTGCTCTCCTCTCTGGAGGGCATTGTTGACCAGATGGTCTGGTTCAGGGAGAACTGGCACGAGGAGGTGAGCGGTTTTAAAGTTTTTGTATTCCAGAAGCAACCGGTTTCCTCTTAAAGCACATCAGCTCCGAACACAAGTTAAACATGACATGAATGCGTTTTCTGTCCGCTTTGCTTACATTCTTTAGTCTCACGCCGCATGCTCTCGTACACGTAGCTGTTTTCAGAGAGCCGCCTGACCAGATGAAAGCTGACAGAGGGGAACGATTGGGGCTCAGTGAGGCTGAAAAGTGGTTTTGCGGTGCAGGTGGACATTGGCGCTCCAGTGCTAATCGGGCTTTGGCGAGGGGCTCTTCATGATTGATGGGTGAGGGGAGGGGAGTGTAAGCTGAACGTGGGGAGATTGGATTGCTGTGACAGGGGTGATGTTTCGAGACTGGACAGGGACGCAAGAGCACCGCTCCTGTGGGACACTTTGGCGAGAAACAGCAGAAGAAGAGGACGGGAAAGGGCAAGAGAAGAAAGTTTAGCAAGGAGAACTGGAGGATGAAAGAAATTGGCATTGAGAGAGCTCAGTGAAGGAAAACGTGGGTTTAATTTTGCAGACATTGATGAAGTGTAGTCGCAGACTAAATTAGTCTGTTAATGGCGATCTTCTTCATTTGAAGCCTAAGCTTAATCTCTGCTGCTGAAGCTGGTAGAGGCGGGCTTTTACTGATCTCTCTGGTGAACATCTCTGCCTCTGAAGGATTTCTAGCATTATCAAAATGAAAATTGGATTGAATGTGTGGGAATGGTGTTATCCTTCATGGTAAATTGATAAAGACTGGTTAACTATTCATCCTTGTCTCTTGGTGTCTCATCTTTTCCTCGTTTCTTTATTGCAGGTTCTACGGCAGCTCCAGCAGGGTTTGGCTAAATGTTACTCGGTGGCGTTTGAAAAAAGTGGAGCTGTATCCGATGCTAAAATCACTCCACATACACTCAACTTTGTGAAAAAGCTGGTCAGCACATTCGGCGTAGGCCTGGAGAATGTCTCTAATGTGTCCACCATGTTCTCCAGTGCCGCCTCGGAGTCCCTGGCCCGCCGAGCTCAAGCCACCGCTCAAGACCCAGTGTTCCAGAAGATGAAGGGCCAGTTTACAACAGGTCAGAACACACACATTTTACTTCATCTTTTAGCAAAGTGCCATTTTTACGTCGTCATTTATAAAAATGAAACTTAATGTAACCCTGTTTAATTATGAGGATGTAGGTTGGGAATTTTCAGACAGGATGTTCCTGAAGCACTGTAAAACCTAGTACATCAGGGAGCATAAAAACTGTAGAGATTTAATTTAATACTTTTTTTGTCAAGAAATCTGTTATTTTACGCACATTTGTTATTTAATTGTTCTTTTTTCAGATCTTTTAATTAATATTTTGGTCAATAAAACAACAACTTCAAAAATATGTGAAAAACAGAGACAAATTGTCTTTGCTCCAAAAGAGGCCTCCGCCCCACTGCACCATTTCCATACAATATATTATGCACATTTTTATCTGTTTTACATCATGTCATGATACATACATACATACATACAATACAAGTAGATAAAAGTTTCCTTATATGTTCACTCATTTATCGTACATATATACTCACACAATGGGTCACAATAGGCTTAGCAAATATACAATAAAGAAATAGAATAATTTTAATAGAAATGAAAATTAAATAAAATTGAGGAAAAGGAAAAAATATGAGAAATAATTAAACAGTGGTCAGGCTGCAATTATTAAGTTTGCATCCATTTGCTCTATTTATGTCAGCACTGGCTGCAAAACTAGATAAAAGTTTTGACTGCAAATTTTTGGTGGAGTACCAAATCTTCTCCAGTATAAGATGGTACATAAGATCCCTAATCCAATGATTAAAAGTTGGAGGAAATTTGTACTTCCATTTGAGCTGTATAAGATGTCTAGTTATTAATGTTGAAAAAAAAAAACATACTTTTGGTATTATTGTCTAAACTGGGATCTGTAATTAAACCAAATGTTCCTAAAATAGGGCAAGGGTCAATTGATACATGCAAAATATTTGAAAAGAAATTCAATTTTAATTGCCAGAACTTTGTAATTTTAGAACATGATCAAAATGTGTGTGTGATTAGCTATCTGTAATTCACATCTATTACATAAGGGATTTATAATTGGTGAAAATTTAGCTAATTTTGCTTTTGTCCAATGTAGGCGATGGACCCCTTTAAACTGAACAGTTGTATGTCGCAAACAAATTGAAGTTGAGTGAATCTTATTTATAATGTCTTGCCGAATTTCCGCGGAGAGAATCTACTCAAGTTCACTTTCCCATTGTTGTTTCGACTAACTGAAATTAGATTTTGTGAGAAAATAGAGTAAATCACACCTATATTACCTTTAAGAACTGGGTTGGTTTTTAAAATGGTGTCAAGTAATGTTTCTGTAGGTAAAGTCTGAAAGTCTACTGTTTTAGAAATCATAAAACTACGGATCTCAAAAAAAAAAAAAAAAAAAGTTTGGGGGATATGTTATTTAATTGTTTTATTAGAAATTACGCCTCAGGTTTTGTTGATTTTTGTGCTTTTATTTACTCTGCCTCATGTTGGTCCAACCCCCTGAGAAATGCATTCATCTCTGGAGTACAAATTAAGATATTCTAGATGAAATCTGAGAGCTCTCTCATACATAGTTGACAGCAATGGGCCCAGCTCATTCAAAGTCTAGAAAAGTACCAAAAATCTAGACTCCTCTAAACTAGTCTATATGCTTTCAGTTGTTCAATAAAAATATTATGAAGCTAGAGGAATACATTTGTGTGCACATAAAACCAAAATAATGCCATTAATCAACAGTTTCTCCTCAGTGTCAGTATAGGACAGGGGTGGTCAACCCTGTTCCTGGAGAGCCAGCTTTCTGCAGATTTCAGTTGCAACCCATATTAAACACACCTGCCTGTAATTATCACATGGTGTTCAGGTCCTAATTAATTGGTTCAGGTCTGTTTGATATGGGTAGCAACTGAAATTTGCAGGAAGGTAGCTCTCCAGGAACAAGGTTGGCCACCCTTGGTATAGGACATGCGGTCATGTGAACACTGTGCTCTGTAGTATACCTCAGATGCGCCTATACTTAGTTTCAAACAGAAGAAGTCACATATGGCCATCAAGCGTACACATCAGTGCATCATTTGTCTTTAAGTGTAGTTTTAAATTAATTACCACAGATAAAATCATTTAAACCTACTTTGAGACTGAGCTGTCACACGTGGACTTCTCACAGAAGTGTCGGCCGAAGTGCACAGTGCACTTAAATGTTCACATCCCCTGTGCACAATTACACGTACACGCGCTCTTGTCTCTGTTCCGCACAACCACTTCAGCCGAGAGTTAACCACAGGCCTCTTCACCAGACCGACTCAGAGAATAATTGGCTCTGTGAACCATGTGATTAGATTTAATGGGAAGATGACTATGGGCAGGACTGTGTGTGCTTGTATTAAAAGTGCTGTTGACTAAAGAAGTGACATAGCTTTAAATCAACATACTTAGCAAACAGAACATTACACTTGCCTATCATACACTACAAAAACAAAACAATAAGTGCACACAATTTTAGTTGTAATTTATGATGTTTTCTTAATGTTTTCATTTGTTTAGTTTAATCACTTTAAGGTGGAAGTGTGTAGTTTTTGTCATTTCTCATGTCAGGTTAGACTGCAAATACATTTTTTATAATTCTTTCTTTCATTGATCAGCCAAACCGTTTTCCTCTACTCATTCCTCTAGTTCATTTATGTTTTCACATTTCTCTGAAGTTTATACAATCTTTTTTGCATTGTATGCTTTTGGTCATATCAATATCAGCTGATAAATACTATTTTGAATGATAACTGCCGATAGCAAAATAAGGCATCTTTTAATTGTGCATTTTTTTCACTGATTGAACCATTCACATTCATGCTGCCCATCTCATTTTTATTATTTTACTAATATTTTTATTTTGGTCAATGTTTGTTACTTTATTTATGCATTGTTTTTTGTCATGCTGTAGATTTTTTTATATATATAAAAGTTAGTTAACCATCGGACTTGGGTGTAATGCATTACTATTCTAATTGCATCTTTGAGGAAAGCAGTAATGTAATCAACTTACACAAATTTAAAATGTAATTCAATACAGTTACTAAAGTCATTGTAATTGCGTTACTTTTAATACAAACATAAATTTTAGAAGAAAAAATGCCTCTTTTAAATCACGTTTTCGACTGCAATGTCAGTTAATAACCATCCACTTTTAAATTGCTGGAGAATGCAAGCTGAAATAGCTGCTGTCGAGAGCGGTTGCTTCTTTAAGTGGAAATGCAGACATCTCTTTGATTTCATTGAGCGTAAAAACAAAAATATTGCCTTGAAATGCAGTCTATGTCCAGTCTCTATATAACTTTCGACTGCTTTTAACTCGCTAGCAACTTGTTCAACCACTTGAACAGAAAGAATTTTATTACAATACTTGTCACCAAGGAGGACACTGGCGCCCAAAAGCGTGGCGGCCCAACTCAGCCTAAACAGGCTAATTGGAATTTTTGTGCAGAATCGGGAGTTAATATTGCATGCACACATATTGGGAGCGCATATTCTGTGCGCTTGCATTTCCCAGGCACACCTAGTTGAAAACCGCAAGTCACTTGACAAGAACTGACCGATCAACTTCATACTTTGTATGGAATATACACATTTAGGTAAACTAATTACCTTAGACAAACACAGAACAACCAAACACTGCCGTGCATTCTCATACTTTGGATGTCAATGGTTACAGGTATACAGCATTCTTATAAATGTCTTCTTTTGTCTTAAAAAAGACAGGTTTGGAACATGTGAATAATTAGAGAATTTTACGTTTTGGAAGATCTCTCTGTCTTTTGAATATGTCTAGCTGTTGTGATTAACCCATTGTAATGTTTTTAAGTGAAAATTACATTACTGAAAGAGCTGCAGTTTGTTTAGTATTTTTATAGGTATATTTTATATGTTTTAAAAGGAATTTGAAAATTTGAATATTTTTTACATGAAGTAATTAGTAATGTTATTAAATTGTAATACTCCAAGAGTCTTAATTTGTAAACTATAACTTTTTTAAAGTAAATTACCTTACACTATTGACCATAGAAAAGACTATTTAATAAATAAAGTTCAGAGATCAATTCAAATTTTTCTAAAGTTAAGGTTTTAAAACCATAAAAGCTGTTGTTTACTTTGTTTCCCTTCAGTTTTTGCAATCATGCAGAAAAATATACTTATCAGCCTTTATATCTCTTCAAAAAACAAAACGTTATTGTCATCAGTAAAAAAATCCTTATTGGTGCATCCTTGATTCCTTTAAATCAGTCCGCTGTTTTTCTTAGAAGCAATCAAATGCTGTATTTATTTATTTATTTTTCTGTGACTGTGTACCTTTTAATCCCAAATGTCCTTCACCCCCCTCGAGATGTTTGTTTAAAATCTCTCTGAGTAGGGGAGAAGTTGGCACAGCTCTTTCCTGAGGCCAGTTTTTTGTACACATTGCCCGACAGTAACCTTCCAGTACCCCCGGTGTAAACCTGGCTCTCAGAAAACAGAGCATGTGTGATCCGAGGCGTATGTTAAAACAAACTCCCCCTCAGCTGTCCTCGGCTCAGGAGAGCAGAATATGTTTAAACTTCCCTTCCCTGTCCACCTCCAGTCTCTCCACCTCAGTAAACCTTGAATCCTGGAGCTAGTGCTCTCGTTTGCCTCATATGAAGCTCTATCCGGAGGCCTGTGTGTGTGTATTCATGGCCTTAGAGGACTGTTAAGGTTGTAAGGGTGTAAAACAGATGTTGCAGTGCCAGCTGTCTCTGAGCAGTGAGGCATGGCCAGTGCACCCTGAGCCTCTCTTTTTGCTTTTGCTACTGGGAATGAGTTTTAGAAGGGAACCAGCAAAGCGCACAGCCCTCTTCGTTTATTCCCTGCATCCTTCTGTCCTTTTCCTCAGGAGTTTCTGCTGCAGAGCTCTCTTTATTTTGACACACACACTAAGCACCATTCATCAAGAACCCTTTAATCAAGCCACAAGCAAGCCAACAGCATGTGTTAATTGTTTATCAGATGTGA